ATCAAGTGATACTTCAAGTGTTTACAAGATAGACTCTTAGATTGCATACAGTAAAACATCCTACTCAAAGCAAAGCAATTTGTGCAAAATGGTTTATGTTTATGACTCCTCTCTGCTGCAAGATATGAGGTTGAGCAACTTGTGGACCCTTTAATGTTGTTGAACTACAGCTCGTATCCTCCCTCACCACAAGCTATCCTGGCTACAAGTTGCCTACCCCAACCTGGACATAGAGAAGAGTACTTGCCATTTCTTGTTTAGTTGGGTTTACAATTTATGAAAAAGGTATATTTAGAAAAGGGACTGATCTTGAACTAAAAGGAAAAGCACAGTAAAAGTCCACAAGGGTCTTAAAATGGGACAAGAAGTAGAACAACGTGCTTTCTTAAAAAGATACACATTTGCAATATTTAAATTGAGAGCATAAAAATAAAATAAAACCCCACTGTTTCACAGGCTTTTGTCAAATTAATAGAAAAGCAACAGTCCTAATAAACTGAGCTTCAGATCTTTCTCATATGAGGGATGTGTAGTGTATCTCCATCAAGTGACTTCCCATTCTGCTTTTTTCATGCTACTCCCAATTTAGTTATCTGTGCAGCTTTGTGTTCAAAGGACAAGCTTGGAAAACATTTGTGATTCACAACTCAAAAGATCAGAACAGTCATTAAGAAAAGCTAAGTTTATATTAAATTATCATCATCATTTTCTAAAATACTGAACATAGTGGTTAAATAACTCAAGAAAAAAATCAACTCTCTCCAGTGAGTAACATTAAAATTATTACACAGGAATGCAGGGAAATCACTTCCAGTAGCTGAGGACAGAGAGGAAAGATATGTTTGCTTTTTACATAGTCAATCAGTAAGCAAGAGATTGTCCCCACTTCCAGCCTTCTTCCATTCTGCAAAGTCTTTATTTCAGCACACGAGTAAATAATCCCATAACCCCAACCACCAACATCAGCAACATTGGCTAAAGCTTGCTTGGGCTTTTGAGCAGAAATCTGCACCCTTGCTTAATTTCAGAAGTAGGACTAAGGCAACAGGTGCCATTGTTCCAATATCTGATAATCTCTTTGACTCCTGTCAATAGAAGGCAGGTGAAATGTTTTGAGAAAACAGGTCTCAAGACTGGAATGTGCAATAGAAGGCGTCCTTACCAAGACAACAAGATTGCTTTGAAAGGAAGGTTAGTATAAGTTGCAGGAGGAAAATCCAGTGGCTCTTTGTTGAAGCAGCTTTTCCTGTTGATCGAATAAGCTTAGAAGTAAAAAGGACAAAACCGTTTTAAACTAATTTATTCCTAATAGATAATTATTTTAAAAACTTCATCCAGGCCACAATGTCCTCAATTTATGTCTGAAGCATGGCTTCACGTTTTCCTGAAAAGTATACATCTTAATTTTCTTGTGGTTGCTGTGACCCCTGAAATCTATTTGCCATACTGGAACTTGAATTCCTCATCTCTTGGAACATTTCAGAAAAAATGACCACAAACACTGGAGCCAACTAAAATAAATACTATTAAATTGAAATCTAATATGTTTTGTCTCTGGCAGTATAGAAAAGGCCTAGTAATGAACACAATGACAGCTCCATATCCCAGTCATAACCAATTTTTCACAAGAATGCACATTACCCATGTTCATCAGTTTGATCTATTTTGATCTCTGCAACAGGCTCAAGACACCAGTATATAGCTAGCATAATTCCTTTACACTGCTTTCTTCTCTCAAAAGAATACTAGGTTTTGTCCTTATTCATATCCCACGATTGCCTGACTATCAGCAGACTGGGAAGATATGCAATTTTTCAGAAGGGGAAAAGAGGAAGTAAGGTGTAAGACTGGCAACTGGGGTATTAGCTGAAATCAAAGTTAAAAACAATTCACTGTTGAATTGTTTTTAACTTTGATTTCAGCTAATACCCCAGTTGTCCGGACAAAAATCAAAGTTTATTGGAAGTAGGTGCAAAACAGGTAGGACTGACAAAGGATTAAACTAAACATTAAGGATTAAATACAGGCCTTGCAACATTGTATTTCACTTGTAATCCTAACATATGGACAAGGAGGAGAAAGTGAAGAAGAAATTCAGTGGTTAGCATGGGATTCTTGGCTGTTCTATATATAAGTGAATGTCCTTCACGTTGTTTTTCAAATGTGTGCTTTGCCTAAGAAGGTTCCAAAATAACAAGTGAATGCAACTAGTTGAGAACTGATGGAGATATGGTTATTAAGTAACCTACCTATCTTCTCTTATAAATGCCACACCTGCATTCCCATAATTGCTGAGTGCTGCAGCTGAGAAAAACAGAGATGCTGAGGAAGCTGCAAGGTCTTGATTCTTCCTACTTCCAAGCAACCAAAGTCCACATTTGATCAAATATATGCCCAAGATTTTAAAACAGAAGTAAATATTGGCATGAAGCTGTATTAAGGAGAACATTTCACAGACAACGAGACCATAGAATTTGTAGCAGCTGGCTCATTAGCTTAACCACATTGAAATTTCTCCCCATGAGATGTACGGTATCTCCAAGATAGTATATAGCTGTCTATACAAAGATAAGCTATGTGATTATATACTTTGAAGCCCACATTAATTACCAAAACTAATGGCTCTGACTAAAGGACTGCACCATGAAAGCCTACCTACATCTTAATACCAATCAGTATGCTGAGAGCTGCAACACAATAACCATTCAGCTTCTAGATTGAACTTGAAGTGGACAGAATAACGGACTGAGTTCTGGAAGCTTGTGCTCAAATTCCCATTCAAGCATAACATTTAATGGATAATCTTGGGCCAAATACCATATTTCATTCTAACCGCTTTCTCAGAGTTGCTGCGAGAATGCTTCTTAGAAGTAGAATATGATATGCCTGGCAAGAATGACCAGAAGTATTTTGTGGTTTAACAGTGCCAAGTAGGACTTTTCCTGCAACACAATTGGACATGTTGGTTTTTGTGTGGGATTCTGCAGTAGGAGACTATGTACATGCTTTCATTAAATACAGATCACGTATAGTGATACTAATTTATAACTTTCTTAAGATAAAAATGTTGTCTGACACTTGCAGATGCAAAAAACTTGAGTTAACTGAGTTTTCAGGCAAATCAAAATTAGTCCAATATTCGTGGCTCTAAGGCAGCCATGAGCAAACTTCGGCCCTCCAGGTGTTTTGGACTAACACCCTCAGGCCCCTTCCTTTTCCCCCTCAGCCACTTAAAGAAAGGGCCTGAGGCTGTTAGGAATTGTGGAAGTTGACGTCCAAAACATCTGAAGAGATGAAGTTTGTCCGTGGCTGCTCTAAGGTTATCTTGCATTTCTATGGTTCCCTGTGGTTTTCCTGGCCTCCATGTTTCTTTATAATATTAAGGATGTGCATGCAATCCCACTAACACCAAACAAAGGGATTTTGTAGAACTTTAGAGACTACCTGAGAAAACAAACTTGGTAGCATAAGCTTTCATAGACTAAGTCTACTTCCTTAGACTGAGAACAAATAAATATAATAACAAATGTAAACAAACGTTCTGGAAACAACAAGAGAAGGGAAATAGGATGACAGGGGGGGGGGGTTAGGAGTTCTGGTGCAGACAACTAAGAACAAACAAGTTTCTATGAAGACTGAAATAAACATACAGTATTCAACACAAATGCTACTGTACAATGGTCATGGCCAACCTCTGCTCTGTAGAATACAGGCCCTTTAATACATATGACAGCAATGCATGTAGTGTTACCATTTGTGTTGATATATAAAGTGTGTTACCGAATTGGGGGTGAGTGGCGTTTGGGGGGGGGGTTGTATTTTTGAAAGAAATATAGATTAGCAACAGAAGGAAAGTCAATGTTTAAAAATGAAGAAAAAAAAACTACCTTCATCACCACCACCAATGACACAGTTTTGAAAGGAAACAGAATAATCTTGCTGGAGTTCATTATTACATTTTGCATACTTGCCTGCTCTCCTCTTAAATTATACGAAGGCGTCAGCAGACAAAGTGGTATAAGCACAGGGAACACATGCTCTTCTTCAGTGATGCCAAAGCCATTCACCCATAGGCATTTGGTGAATCACTTACTAATCAGAAGAGAGGCACTTGCAGGACTATGGTGAATACTGCTGCACTTTCCAAGAAGATATATTATGTGGTTACAAATTCCAAGTAGGACTCTTCCTGCAACTTAATTGCTGTTCTGCCAAATGATGCCTAGACCCTGTGCAGCATCTACTTGTGATAGCCACCGTCACCTCACGTTCTGAAAAGGCAATTTGCCAAGCCCAAGGCCCATTTTGCAGGATGGAAACGGACATGTTCTAGTTGAAATGAGGATGAAGTTTTGCACACTTAAGCTATTGACAGTATGCCTCCTGTCTCAGTACCTGCCTGACATTCATTATCTTTCCATTGCACACACCCGCTTTCTGACACCAAACTTTCACTGCCAGCCTATCCAGCAAATACAAAAAGAAGTCACAAGCAAATCCCACCCTTCCAGAATCTCGAAATAAAATCCTTTTGCTCCAAAAGACATAGGAAAAAAGTTCCCTACTGGGTTTCTATAGCAGCATGTTGGACTTTTGAGTGCATCTTCTTGCCCAATTATGTTCCAAATTTTAAAAATAGCAACATACTGCTGACTTATATTCCACAGGCTAACACTGTTTTCAGTAGCACATATTTATAAAGGATGGCATTTGAACTGACTAACAAAGAACTGCGATACAGCACGATTGCACTCAACACATTCCTTGCAAGTCAAAGCTAACAGGAATCTCTATAAACAAGAATCAGTCCCCACAGGGAATAGATGGGAAAGCCCAATTTGCAAAGACCAGAAGTATGTTTTAGGAAGGGATTGGGCATTCTAGGTTAAGGTCTGTTGCCAGCAACAGACTGAGTGCTTTACACCATGGATTCCTCATAGCCAATTCTGGATTTGGTAGCAGTTTCCTACGGCTTGAAAAGATGACAGTGACACTGCCCCTTCACAATGAAATTATATATGAATTTACTTTCCTGTATCTGCCAGACTCATCTGCTTTTACATCTCCTCTACTGCCCCCAACCCTTTCCCCCTCAAAGTAGACAGAGTGCAGTGCAAAATCCAGTTAGTGCCAATATCCTCAGAAGAAAGGCAACAGGTATCAGGAGTGGGTAAGTTCAGAAAGTCTGGCCACTTGGTGATGCCGAGTCCTTAGTTTGTTTGTGTGCTCACCAAAAAAAAAAAAAAGGTGTTGCTAAATTCAACACCACAGTTTGTAAGGAAAGGGTCATATAAATAAACACAAACTATCAATGAGCCAAAAGGGTCTCTTGAGTTGCGTCCCATTAAGCCGCAAAGGCAAAGTCTTGCTTGGGCGCCTCTCCAAAGAGAGTCTCTGGTCTTCCATATGATACGGACGCTATTCTTCAAGTTTCTCCTTGAAGAGCGGGCAAGATCCTATCTCATCAGTGCGAAGGATGGCAGAATAGGAAGGAGAAATGTCTTGAAGTGTGCCTTAAACTTCACTCTCCGTTGAAGGTTTGCGCTGATGCTTCCAGCCTGTGTCTGGAAGAGAACCGCGGCGCTCAGGAGTGGCTGCTGCGTTGATGCTGCTACATTCAGACTGCTCCTCTTGTAGCAGCTGCTCAGTTTCTGTATCATCCAGGGAGCCAGAACTGGCTTGGATAGAGACCGTGTCAGTCTTCATGCAGACATGGTCACGAAGAATACAACCCCGAGAGCTCCGTATCTGTTTGAGGTCATCCCATTCAGATTCATCACTGGACAAGAGGCATATTCCTTCTACAATCTTGATCTTTTCCTTGGTGTAATTATGATCAGGACCAGCCTACAGACAGAAAAAAAAAATGAAATCTGCAAAGTTGAAGTTTATAGCAGACGTTTTGAACAACAAGGCCCAGAGAACCAATGGGAAATCCATTTGTGTTTTAAGAGCAAAGCCACACCACAAAATGGAAATGGGCCAAAGGACTGCTATCTCCTGCTCCCTGAATAAGACTGTCCAAACTTCCACAGTTACACCCAAGCTATTACCTCTCAGGCAAGTATTGCTGGAGAAGGGCAGATGACCAAATTTAAAAATCTAAAAACAATATCCATCTTCATTGCTGAGATAATGGATAACTGGCATGTTACACATTTGAAGGACATTAAGCTAGGATGTCAAGAGATAGATAGATATAGATATATGGATATAGATAAATAGATATAGATATGGGGTGTAAGAACCACTGCTCTATGTGGTATGGAGGGCATTTCCAGCATATCTGGATGCACCAGGGAAGTCAAAAACATTTTTTTTGCAAAACATTAGTAAAAATATGCCTCAAATTGCCCAACTGGTGGGGAGTCACATTTTCAGCACATTTTGTTGTTTCCTGGTCCAATTCAGGCCCCGGAAATGTCTTTTTTGTAAACTATGCCCCCTAGAAGTGTTTATTACTATTATTTTGCAGTAACTGGCAAAACCTTCTAAACTTTTCTTAAGGAGCTAATGCAGCTCCATATCCTTCTACAGTTATGCATCTCTGACTAAAGAAATAAACTACATCCTATGGCAATACTGGGCAGGAAGATTGGAATAGCAGCAAGATAATGTGATAATTCAAATCATATGGATGAGCAAACCCATCCAGTTAAAAATATTTTTAAATGAGATGGAATATAAATAGACATCACTAGTTGGGTAGTCCTTGATGAATCAGAGTAAGAGAACTAAAACATAAGATCACGGTTCAAGGAAAACATATTTTGTTCCAACAGCTTACAACTGGACATAAAAATAGTAAGGCACCCTACAAAAACGTAGCAAACTCATACATTCCTGCAAGCATAAAATACTACTTGGATATAATGTTCTAGTTCTTTCCTAACTGCTATTAGAAATTCTATTGCTATTCCTCAAATGACAAAAAGTGAGAACAACACAGATTCTGGATATACTGAGGGAACAAAGATGAGGAATACTTTCAAATGTATGAAAATCAACCAAACAAAACTAGACAGAAATACTGTTAGAAGCAAGCATTCAATTAGAAGATTATCTAAAATTCAACTGGATGCAATGGCATAGATTTTGAGCAGAAGGGCAATCTCTCACTGGGAAACATTCTCATCTGTTCTGAGGTTTGTTAGAATAAAGCAGCCCAGAACAAAAAAAAAGAATACAGTTGACGAATGTTGTCATTAAGGGGATAGGACACAAGCCAGGCTTGGTTAATACAACATTAAAATGATCATAAAGGTTCGAATGCTGATGTTAAGTGTTACAAAGATCAGTCATACAATTGATGTTTGAAAAAGAATTAGGGAAATATGTCATTGAAAAACAACAAGGTATACATTAACTTGTTAATGGAAAGGAGGAGTGTATGCCATTATTTAGGCAACAAAGACTTTTTTGATCAAACCTTGCACATATACAATCAAGGGGTATGCAGATTAAAGGCACACAAACTTTAATTATATTTTATTAGTTGATAAAGTATAGTATTAAGAATGTCCAATATGTCTTGGCTTTCCCAGAACATAAATGCAGCAGAAGGATTTCTTGGCAATGGTACACGCTCACATACACAAGTCAGGTAAGTAGCAAGTAATATAGACACCGCCAGGCAACTTCGCACTATGGAAATAAGGGAAGCAGAGCTTCCACAAACAAAGAACTATGATACCTGATTATGAGGCTGTGGGCAGGTCAAAAGAGGAATGGTGAAAGACTATCAGAGGGATAAGAAAGTTGCTGAGGAGGTAAAGACAGAGGAGAGACTTAGTGCCTTAAGAAATCATGGCCAACCACTGGTCCTGCATAAGCTATAGTGCCAAATGCAAGAATTATCCATTCTGGTCCCACTAGAGATCTATGCACTGGACAGGTACATCCTTCTACCACAATACCACCCATGCTTATTGAATTGCACTGGCCAAAGACAGTGGTCTTGAATTCCTCTGGATAACAAAGGAAATTAGAAGATTAAAGATAGATGTCCCATATGATACATTTACCTATGGGAGCCATATTGAAGTAAAAGATACAGAATTTTTAGTGTAGTTGTGTTTAGTTTGTCTAGGAGAAAATTAATTAGGCTACTGAAAACTGGCTTTTAATAATAAAACTTGACCATAATTATTCCAGTTTGTCTTACCTCCTTCTTAAAGCATAACTGGTTATACATTGTAGGCTTGGGAATGGTTTCGATCTTGACTTCTTGGGTAGACGTCCGATAAGATGGGTTGCTGTAGGTAAGGTTACTAAGGCTGGGATCTGTGAACTTAGACTTTTTGTGCCTACAGCAATCAATAAAGAGGTTGAGTATATTGTAATTAGGAAAGTCTGCACAACCAAAATTCCATCCCAGATTAGCAGACAAATAATTTTAATCTGAGCATTTCCTTTACACCAAATGGAAAGAAAGTCAGTTTACTCAGAGATGGAACATCTCTTGAGCTGGGCTGTATGGTCATATTCTAGAAGCATCCTCTCCTGACGTTTCACGCACATCTATGGGCAGGCATCCTCAGAGGTTGTGAGATCCTCACAAACTCTAAGAGCTATTGAGATGGGTTGCTATGAGTTTTCCGGGCTGTATGTCCATGTTCCAGAAGCATCCTCTCAACGTTTCACCCACATCTATGGCAGGCATTCTCAGAGGTTGTGAGGTCCTCACAACCTCTAAGGATGCCTGTCATAGATGTGGGTGAAACGTCAAGAGACAATGGTTCTGGAACATGGTCATACAGCCCAGAAAACTCACAGCAGACCAGTGATTCTGGTCATGAAAGCCTTCAACCTCTTGAGCTGTCCACTAAGAAAATACAAAAGGACAACATCTCTTTTCCTTTAGGCCTGTGGAAAAGCATGGATAATTCCACTGAGAAATAAAAGAATGTTCATGCAAAAGGTTCAAAGGATAAATATACAAGATGCCACCAAGGATGTGTGAAAAATTCACTATGTTTCTACATAGGCTAGTGGATTTAACACTCTTTGCAGGAAGAGAATGAACTTGACAATTTTATCATATACACTCTGTAAATTATGCTAATGTTTTTGAAAAGTGAAAAAGGAGAAAGAATCATCAACACAAAATTTGTTATGTTAGGAGAAAAGAAGCACAATAAACCAAGAACACTATTACAACATGAATAATGTTGGGAATATTATAGGTTTAATTGTCTATTACTATAATTTGGCTTCTTAACTTCAGTTAACCTTGAAGAATATCATCCCCACTGTCATGTGTCACTGTTGCCGAATAACATGGCTGCCTCTCCAGAATCAGCTCCAATGGTGTATTTTTTAAAATATAGCAAGAAATGCCTGAACTTTAATGGGATGGTTCCAAACAACAAATAAACCCATAAAGAAAGAGAGTTGGAAAAAGGATGTGGACATTACCTGTATATAATTACCGCACCAGCTAATAGCAATATGAGCAAAATACTAAGAACGCCCCCAATAATGTAGCTGACATGCAGTCCTTCTCCTGAAAGAGAACAGAAAGTTATTAAAGCATGTTCTCATGCTATAAAGAAATCTTCTCTAACATGGCATATCCCAGGCATGTTGCACTACAATTCCCATCGCTCACAAATACACAGGGAAAACAGGAATTGCCTTTAATATATCTGAATAGGATGGAACTGGGATGGAGACAGGGAACAGATTTTAAGCTATTTGGCAGCTGGAAATTACAGCAAAAATGGTCTAGCTAATTATAATTTTGTCTAAAAGGCAAAATACAAAATGAGAACTGTTGGCAATTCTTCCTCTCCAGATACTTGCTGTGCTTTGCTATGTAGTGGATAATATTTGAAACTTCGTGCATCAAATGAAAGAAGCTGTGTTCCATGAAAGTTTGCATTTGTTCAGCTTTAAAATGCTCTGCTTTTTTGAAGCACAACTGCATGCATTTGAAAGTGTCAAAGCTTTAGAAGCCGTCCAGACATTTTTTTTAAAAAAAAACATCCTTAGCCTCCCAAGTTCTGTGCGTAATGTAATTTTACTTCTAGAGACTGGTCAGATCTCCATTGAATCTCGGAAGCCCTGGCCCTTGAGTGCTCTAATTGAGGTCAGCTGTGACCATACTGCAGAATTTGAAGGGGCATGAATGGAGGGCGAAAGGGAGAAACGTGTTAAGAGGAAGGCATGTCAAGCCAACCCTGACCAGGACCTCCTTCCACCTGGAAATCAATGTCCTCACTGTGGGACAACATACGGATCAAAAATAAGGCTCCACAGACAAAACTCGCTTTGTCATTGCAAGTTTAAGAAAGCTGTTGTAGCAATGTAAATCTGAGATAAGGCATAAAGCAAACACAGCAAAAATAAACAAACAAACAAAACAAAACAAAAAACACCCCATAACTATTTGTTTTAATTACCCCTGTTACACAGCCCTGATAATCATATGCATGAAGAGAAGATTAGAATATAATAAATAACTTTTTTCCTTGAGTCAGCCTGCCCATACACACTGTAACCTGTGCTCCTGGCTTGCCCAGTTATAGCTGTTAATTGCTCTTGGTTTGAATTTTCAGTTAAAAAAATGCTGAACTCACCTGTGGTTGCAAGCACAGCTTCGTTTCCTCGGCTGCACAGGCCTTGGCTAACCTTTTTGTCAGAGCAGCTGCACAAGATAAAAGATACATAAGGTCACCTTCAAGAAAACCATTCATTCTATTTTTTCCCCTGTCATGAGTGACTTGAGAAACTGCAAGTTGCTTCTGGTGTGAGAGAACTGGCTGTCTGCAAGGACACTGACCAAGGGACACCCAGATGTTTTAACATCCTGTGGGAGACTTCTCTCACGTCCCTGCATGAGAAGCTGGAGTAACAGATGGGAGCTCACTCCGCTCCCGAGATTTGAACCACCGACCTTTCAGTCAGCAGTCCTGCTGGCACAAGGGTTTAACCCATTGCGTCACCGGGGGCTCCTTTGTAATCCTATGACAGACTGAGATGAACCGAAATAGACTAGACATGAAGTATAATACCATTGTGTTCAAATATAATCTAAATGCCACAATAGTTTTTAAAATTTAATTTAATATATCATAGAAACTAGTAACTATCTTACAAGAAGAAAGGAGAATGCAATACCTGTATATATTACAGAAAGACCTTTGTCTCATAATATTTTAAACTTCAGAAGAGAAGGATGAGAGGGGACATGATGAGGGGAGATTCCACCTGAACATTAGGAAGAACTTCCTGACTGTGAGAGTTGTTCAGCAGTGGAACTCTCTGCCCTAGAGTGTGGTGGAGGCTCCTTCTTTGGAGGCTTTTAAGCAGAGACTGGATGGCCATCTGTTGGCGGTGCTTTGAATGTGATTTTCCTGCTGCTTGGCAGGGGGTTGGACTGGATAGGCCATGAGGTCTCTTCCAACTCTATGATTCTAAAAAAGTCCTAGAGCTCCTGTTTATGGTATGTAGCATTGGAACATTTATTTCTAGCTTAGGGGAGAAAAATCTATGAAGGAAATGAGCCTGAATGCAATATTTCTTTATAACCACATTTTAAATCAAGAAAGCCACTTACTTTCCTTCTGTCATTTCCACAGATATCTGGGGCTTGGTTGTGGAAGAGCCAGATCTATCAGTGGGAGCCTCATACTTTTTGCTTGAACGAGTGGTGTCAGGAATTGCAGGTCCCATGCCAGGAACTATATGAAAGGGAGAATGAAACAGAACCTGAGGCATAGGACATAATACACACACACTCCCCACCCCCCACCCCCCAAAAAGCTATTTGTTATTCTAAATAGTGCAAGAGACTGTAGGATTATTTTTGCGGTTCAACGGGGATGTACTTATAAGAAAACAAGAACAGTAAAGTCAGTATCCAAAGAGTTCTTTTATCACCTTTGAGGCTAGCTGAGAATAAGACATTGATAATGTAAGCCTTTGTAGATTGGTTTGTTTGTTTATTTGTTTATTTACAGTATTTATATTCCAGCCTTCTCACCCTGAAGGGGACTCAGCGCAGATCACAGAACACATATACGGCAAACATTCAGTGAAGTTATACACCAGCAGGACACACACAGTACACAGATAGAGGTATATACGGTAGGCTTTTTCCATCATCAGTACCTTGGAGGTTGTGCTCGATTCTGGCCATGAGGGGGTGCTATTGCTCCATCATCCTTGCTGAAGAGCCCTGTTCAGACTTTTCCTTTTGATCAAACTGCAAGCATTTTCTGGTATTTCCTTATGGTGCCATTAAAGTACCTCCCCACTTAAGTGGTACCAATTTATCTACTCACAGCTGTTTTTGATCTGCTTAGGTGAGCAGTGAGCTCACCCCCAACCCGGACTTCAAACTGCCAACCTTTCAATTGGCAAGATTTATTGCAGCTGGTGGTTAACCTGCAATAAACCGGCAGAGCCCTGGCATTGTGACAGAGTGCTAGGAAACCACTGTATCTGTTCAACTCACTGTTGGATATGTTCAAATGCTGCTAAAGCCTGGTCTATGTTCAAGTGCTGTGCTAAAGCCTGGTCTACTTCATCAGATGTATGGAGTGAAGTGAACAATAGACTTCTTTCCAATATTGCTTTCCGGTTTTTATTGTCATCACTGATATTGTTCAACGACTGCTGTTCTAAGGTTCAAGATAGTATGCTAGGAGAAACGAAATGTTCTGCAACTCATTTTTTGTGTATTCCCACTCTATCCACAAGTACTTCACTGTAGTCACATGTTTTGCCTTTCTATTGCTATTCAAACATACAGTCAGTTTATTTGAAGCCATAAAGTTGACTCCTAAACTTCATGCATATGATGAAATAAACTAAAATCTCAGAAAGCTTATGCTACCAATGCCTTTCTCTCAGTCTCAAAGGTGTTAAAAGATGCCTTTCCATAATGATTCAGACTAATATGGCTATGTTAATGAATTCTGCAAAGTAGATAAAAAGCATTAGTGTACAGAAGAGGCTTACTGTTAGAACTTGTATGGAAGCAAGAAAAGAGACTGTAGGTCTCTCATTAATTTGCCATTTTTCCCTAAGCAAAGTCTCAGTTTTATATGTAGGTATATCTTTAAAGTCACTGGGAAAAATGCCAATCAAATACAATATTCTTTTGAGATCCAGAATATTAAAATATGCATCTGGGACATCTGCAGCATGGAAGGAAATTTCAAAGAAGAAAACATCAAGTATAGAAGACAAGCGCCTGCAAAGGAAACAAAATAAAGCTCTCTGCAGTGAAACCTTTGAATAAATTACCAAGGATATATTCTGCAGTAGATAGTTCAGTTTTATCTGAACTTGGCTTCCTGAAGCATACAGACCTGGTCTTGTAGTTCTTGTTAAACAGGAACACCAGCAGTGATTTATACATTACAAACAACTTACTGTTGGAGCAAGGATGCCCATCCGGTTCATCTGGACATGCACAAATGAAGTCAGTAGCCCTGGCAAAGCAGAGGTGGGTACAGCCTCCATTATTCACTCCACAACCATTGGTGCCTAGAAGAAAAAGATAAAATGTTTGACACAGATATCTTTTTTTATCCATAAGCACAAGAGTTTAACATTTTCTCCACTGACATCCACTATGCTGAGAGGTAAACACAATGGTTCTAACCAACAATACCATTAGTTGACTCTCCAAACCTATCAGAGATATAGCAAGCACCACAAAACTAAATCTACTTATCAACCTGAACAAGTTATCTTCATCTTCCAGCTCTTAGATGCCCCTCTACTTACATCCAGTGCTTAAAATCTAGACATCTATCACTGTGTTTATAGTTCTCACCTGCATGTATAGAATCTAGATTAGTGGTTCCCAATCTTTTCTTGAGCAGGGACCACTTTGAGCAGGGACCACTCTCCAACGTTAGTACCAAAAGGGTTACAAATCAATTTTCGGTCAACTTTAGATTTGGTTATTTGGGTTGCTGATTCAGAAAGTTGCATTGGATAGACCACTCTAGTTTCTGATACAGAACATATGCCATCCAGTAATCACCACCTACTTGCCCACAAAAAACTATATTTAATAAGCCTCAGTACTACAGGAGGGGTTTGCGAAGCCAGCTCTTGTTGCAACGGTGTAGCAACAGTGAGGCCACGGACCAAAATTTAGTTCTTGTGGACCACTGGTGGTCCACGGACCACAGGTTGGGAGCCACTCATCTAGATCAAGGTGTTACTGCTATTAACTACCCTTTGGTTTGAATTTTCACAGTGAACGAAAATGAAGAACACACCATTTATTCTGCTGCAAGGACCTTATAACCTTTATGTAAGGCCAAGGTCTAACACAATCTCAGTATACACAATTTCAAGAGCCCCTGGTGGCACAGTGGGTTAAACCCTTGTGCCAGCAAGACTGAAGGCCGAAAGGTCAGAGGTTCGAATCCGGGGAGAGCGCGGATGAGCTCCCTCTGTCAACTTCAGCTCCCCGTGCGGGGACATGAGAGAAGCCTCCCACAAGGATGGTAAAACATCAAAAGAACTTCCCTGGGCAACGTCCTGTGGCTTGATATTATGTGGGATAGAATCTAGAAACTGTCTTTTTATAAATACGTAATATAGCCATTCAAGCACTTGATGTTTCCACAGGGTGGGTTCTAAGATTCTGACCTTGCCTGTTCTAAACCTTCATGTACCATTTCCTAAATGTTGGATATTCTAAGAAAAGGTAGACAGCCTTAGGGTACATGCTTTAAAAGGGGGATCTTCAGAAATAGAACTTTTGTGCTGGTTGGAAGATTCAAGGAGTCACTGTTTAAAACATTAAGTTCACCAGGCTTCGAATACCTTTATTATACCTCAGGTTTTGTATTCCAACATTATTATTATTAATGATAGCTGAAGTCCCAGGCTGGAAGATCAATGTATACTCTTTTTCATATTTCTGTTCCCTATTTGACAAGAAGCCATCCTAATATCTGAGAAGATTGAAGGGGACTGATACTTCTTCTCTAAATTAGTCCTCTAGCCATGATGCCATAATAATCAATATTCACCAGTGACAGCTGTTATCATGGAGGGGCGGCCTGTGGCCCTTGACTTAAAATTATGTGATTCTAATTTCAGTTTCAACTAATTTAAAAGTGTTGGTATAGACTTCTGGCAAAATATATCTGTCTTTCCCCCAGAAGCTTGCTATGCAGGAAGGACAAAACGAAGAAAGGAGAACAAAAGAAAAAAGTTGGTAACAGAGAGAAAGCATGACAAAGGGCAAGGGAATATTAGATTTGCCCACTTTTGCTTCTGGTTTATTTATTATTTATTTATTTACAGTTCTTATATTCCGCCCTTCTCACCCCGCAGGGGACTCAGGGCGGATTACAGTAAACACATATATGGCAAACATTCAATGCCAGTTTGACAAACAACATTTAACACACAAATACACCGAGGCTATTTAACTTTTTTTTTTCTGGCCGCCAGGGGAGCTGCTGCTTTTCATCGTCCATCAATGACACCGATGAAGTTCTTCCGCATTCCACATTCCCCGGAGTCTTTTTTCTTTATGGCCCCATAAATTAGTTAAATTTAGCCTCCCACACAAGGTGGTCCCTTATTTTCCTACTTGACAGATGCAACTGTCTTTCGGGTTGCAAAGGTCGACAACGGGCTACACAATGGCTGGACACCCACTCCAGCCCGGGCTGGCTTCGAACTCATGACCTTTTGGTCAGAGTGATCTTAATGCAGCTGACACTCAGCCAGCTGCGCCACAATCCCGGTGCCACAATCCATTGGTTCTTCACTCCATTGGCAAACAGCCCCTTCAGCAGGGGTCAGGAAAGCATAGCCTGCAGATCCTGGGGCCCAATTTTGCAACCCATGAAGCCTCCCACCAATTTCACAAATACCCTGCACCAATATATTTTTAAACTCTCCCAAATGTGTGCGGCAAAACCAAAATTCCTCCCTAACTCCCAACATTCCAAACTCTCCACCCTCTTCAAATCTAACATCCCTTCTGGTCATCATTTTGAAAGATAAACAGAAGGAACAGAAAAATATTTTGGACACTAAATCCTCCACAATCCTCCATCTGACATGAATAACACACTAAACAACCTTTCCCAACTCCTTCTATTCTAAGAGTCATGGCAATTATATAGTAACATATCCAAGAGGGCATGAAGTTTGGGTTCAGTGGAGGCCTGCACAACTTGCGGCCCTCCAGCTATTTTGGCCTCCAACTCCCAGAATTTCTGGCCATTGGACAAGCTGGCTAGGGCTCTGGGAGTTAGGGGCCAAAACATCTGCAGGGATCCAGGTTGTGCAGGCTTGATTCAGAGTATGTTTTACTACTGTGCCCTTTTTAATTTTGAGAATACAATTCTGCAACTGAGACTATAGCCTTTACCTGTCTGTCTTTGAGGGGAGACCACGATGATATCCATAAGCCCTTCAACATTGGCCAAAACAGTCTCCTTATTTCGGCCAGAATATTTGTCCGCACGCTGGACAGACTTAGTCTTCCAGTCTGTCCAATACAGCCACCTGTCCTGCTACTCATAAAGAAAAGAAACAAAGTCAAAGGAAAATCTGAAAATAATATAATACAACTTTTCAAGAAGTCCAAGCAAAACACTTTCAACTTTCACAACAGAAATAAAAATGAGAACTTCCCCAAAAAATAACAAATTAAAACATAAATGTTGTAATTACATGAACAATTAAATTGCATTTTTGTAAAAACATTCTGTATGTTTTACTTATGTTTTATAGTGCTTTTGACTGTATTTGTTTCAAATTTTCTACATTGGCTTGAGTCTTAGAAAACAGGTGATGACGATCACTTCCTTCAGGAGACACTAGTGACATAGCATCAACAACTTTCTCCTTACCTGTGTCAAGGCGAAGGGATGTGATACTTGACTGACCAGCACCTGACGCAGTTTACCATTGAGATCAGCACTCTCTATGCGATCTAAGTGAGCATCTACCCAGTAGATCCTACAAGAACAAAGAGAATTAAAGTGAAACCACTGTAGCCTCCCAAGCTACAGAAACATACTTTCCTGCTACTCAGTAGAAGTCTACTGGTCTAGTGAAGCACTTCTAACTTGCTTTAGAAACAGAGGAAAAGCTTTTGAATGCCATTTATATAGGAAATAATTGTGAAACACCATGTGATACTGACCTTCTGGTGTCATAATCCAGGGTAAGCCCATTGGGCCAGCCTAAGTCACTATTGATCAGTATCTTGCGTTCAGAACCATCTAAGTTTGCACGTTCAATTTTAGCAACATGTCCCCAGTCTGTCCAGAAGAGATACCTGGAGTAAAAGAAACTAAATTGAAGTTCCATCTCTGCAAATAATTTTTGGAGACAGAAGGAGAAGCTGGACAGTCTGAAACTTTTCCTCTACTCTTTCTCATGGAATAGGTAGTGTAACTGCTGGAGGCTATGCTCCTTGCTACTTAATAGATCTACGAGCTACAGAAGTCTAGTCTGCCTTTGCAGAATCAATTTATGCAGTTTTTCCTCAGGATAATTCGCCTGACTTGGGAGGGCTATGTTCCAAGAGCCAGACTGCAGTCTTATCTGTACTTAATCTAGCAGTGTCAAGGCAGGAAAACTTTCCAACAGCTGACTTGCTAGTTTGGATCTTTGCTCAAGAAAAGATCTTCTGTTCAGGCAAAGAAACTATCCAACCGGTAGGTCACATGTTCCCACAGTCTCAAAGAAGGCATCTATCCTGGGGCAACACTCTCCTTCCCCCACTTCCTCCAGTTGTTTATATCTTATCAGTTTATTTCATAAGCACTTGATTTTAAGAAATCCTAGGCTTACCCCTTTCTGGGAAAGACAGCAATTGCTCGGGGTTCATCTAGACTGTTGTTGATTAGCACTTTTCGGCAGCTGCCATCTAGTCTTGCAACTTCGATAGTGTTACGGCCTGTGTCTGTCCAGTACAGATTCCTAGCCACCCAGTCAACAGCCAGGCCATCTGTTGTCTTCAGACCTTGGCCAATAACTGTTTCCATATGACTGCCATTTAGGTCTGCTCTCCTGGAAGAAGGAATAACTGAAAATGAACAAAATATCCTGTCTACTGAAAAGTTGTGTTAAAAGAATAGGTTTCATGAAATAAAGAGTACTAAACAAAAGAAACTAGATTTTATGTAATTCATTAACACAAAAATTGTTAATTGTTGTATTTTATCATTCTACTTTCACTTGACTTAGCCGATGGTTTGTTGACCAAAATAAAGGCTACTGACTGAAAAATAGGCTTAAGGATACTTACCGAATCACATCTAAGAAGACATCTGTGTAATAAATCTTGCCATCTACACTGTCATAGTCCAGAGAGATTACATTGTTCAGTTCTGGTACAGGGACATGAACATCAGTGTGATCACTAGTATCCAGTGAGATCCGCCGGATGGAACCACGACTAGAAAAGAGCAGGTAGGTTTCTGGAGAGGGATCACAGGTCCTCTCATCGGTCTTTAACTTGATACCAGTGGGGCAAGCACAGGAAAAGCCTTCAGGATTTGGAAGGCAGAGATGAGAGCAACCTCCATTCCTCATGCCACATTTGTTAGCACCTTAGAAAAATGTAAGAGGATTAAATCATTACTTTCCTACATCATCATGCAAACATAATTTTCAAACAATTAACTTAAAAGTCTGTAGGTCTAGTGGGGGACTAGACGCTGGCAAAGGGAAGGTTGTTAATGTTGGAAATAGCAACCTTCTCAAGCCTCCACTAGTTGTTTGTTATGTATACAATTGTTTACTGTATTGTATGTGTGTATTGGTCTGCAATTTTACCTAACTTCTTTGTTGTGGGAGGGGCTGCAGACCATGTGATCAGAACTGGACATGTTCAGGACCCGAGACTCCCTTTTAGATCAGTGTTTGCTTTAGACTTCAGTGGAGACAGAAGTCACTAGACTCCTAGAGAGAGTAGAAGCCACCTATATGCTTCTAGAAGACTACAGGAACAGTACAGTTTAGACTTCAATAAGATGTATGCTTAAAGACTCCTATGGACTATTGCTTCTAAGGAAGATGCCCAATGTTACCTACACAGAGAAACAACTTAAAATCCTATTGTAACTGGAGTCATAAACAAAGTGCCTGTATGCTGCATACATAAAGTTTTGTGAGTAAACCAGCTCTGTTACACTTGTCTCTTGAGAGCATGATTTAAAGGCAAATGTATTTCAAGGGAGAGTAGATGTTTTGGGGCAACTAAAGGAACACTTCTGAAACTTTGCTGAGTATATGTTTTGTGCAATGGCACATCTTTGTCCCTAGCAGTTCAACAACATACTTAGGCACATCAGCTGAGAGATATAGTTGCCTTGCATGAATATGGGTGAACATCATTTTTCAAAAGGTTGTGACTTCTAACAAGGTCATGCCTCTCTCCAATGACCAGCGAATTTTCCAAAAAAGGTTATGAATCCCATTTCCCAAATGGTTATGGAGATTCACATTTTCCAAAAGTTAAAAACTAACAACTCTGGAACACAGGACCTCATTAAAAGATAATTAGCAAGGTATTTTCATTTACTATTCTAACGAACACAAAAATGCATTGATAAAGTGCAAGAAAATCACAGACAAAACAATACTACTGCAACGCTCTCTACGTGGGGCTGCCCTTGAAGACGGCCCGGAAGCTTCAGCTAGTTCAGCGCGCGGCAGCCATGTTACTAACGGGAGCGGGATGCAGGGAGCATACAACGCCCTTGCTGTCCCAGCTCCATTGGCTGCCGATTTGCTACCGGGCCCAATTTAAGGTGCTGGTGTTATCCTACAAAGCCCTAAACGGTTCCGGCCCAAAATACCTCTCGGACCGCATCTTGGCCTATGAGCCCACGAGGACCTTGAGATCGTCTGGGGAGGCCCTTCTCTCGATTCCGCCTGCCTCGCAGGCGTCTGGCGGGGACGAGAGAGAGGGCCTTCTCAGTGGTGGCCCCCCGGCTGTGGAACGCCCTCCCTGCTGACATCAGACAGGCGCCCTCTCTCATGGCTTTCCGTAAGAGCCTAAAGACCTGGCTCTTCGAGAAGGCATTTAACTAGTCCCAGACTAACTGACAATGACAATGACAATCGGAACGAAATACGGATTATGAGACTGGTAGATCCCTATGTGGTGACGGTGCGGATTAGTTTAGTGTAATTTAGATTAAGTGTGTTATATGGTTTGTTGATATACTCTGTGTTTTTTGTAAACTGTTTTTATATGTTGTACACTGCCGCGAGTCGCCCTAGGGCTGAGAGCGGCGGTCAACAAATGCATTAAATAAAATAAATAAATAAATAAATAAATAAATATCAAGCTTCTGGAAATGAAATCAAGATGTAGAGGAAGACGTATGGGGAAAATTGGAAGGATGCTGGTTCAAATTATATTGAAGGTTTAAAATACAGCCTGTGCAGTGGGGGCCTTTAAAACTCTGGATAGCAATGATTAAGCAATGTTGTAAATCCTGAAGAAAAACCACTGAAACTAGGTGAACATATTGACTTGAAAATCATACGTCATTAGGTGAAAATTAAATAACTGTTTTAATATGAATTATATTATATTGTTTCCCAGCAACAGCAGGTGGTAGAGTTTGAAATCAGAAAGGAGCTATATACATTTATTCCCTACACCTTCCTATCATCTTTAAAATGAATTTCTACCAAATAATTCTGAACTTTGCCTTGAAGAAAAATGTTGAAGCCTACCAAGAGGGCGCTCCCTGTCTACAGCCTGGATATCCATTAGACCAGGCAGGTTTGCTCTGACCAGGATGACATTTTCACCAGTATTCTTGTCAGCTCTGTGAATGCTACGTGTTTGCCAATCAGTCCAGTAGATGTAGGAATCCAGTAGAGTGAGGCCATAAGGGTGCTGCACTGGTGAGAGGAGGGTGTGGCGATTTGCACCATTCAGGTCTGCAGCTTCTATACGCTGAAGGGAAGAAATGCAATTAACTTTGTTACAGAAAAAGAAAATGTATTGTTGAAGGCTTTCATGACCGGAATCGCTGGGTTGTTGTAGGTTTTTTGGGCTATATGGCCATGTTCTAGAAGCATTCTCTCCTGACGTTTTGCCTACATCTATGGCAGGCATCCACAATTTCCAAGACTTCACAACCTCTGAGGATGCCTACCATAGATGCAGGTGAAATGTCAGGAGAGAATGCTTCAAGAACATGGCCATATAGCCCGAAAAACCTACAACAACTTAGAAAAAGAAACTCACAATGCAGTACACATCCCTTGATACCTGATGATTTTAGCAATGATTCATCAAGCAACAACAACTAAGCAATCTCCACTGGAGGCAACTTGAAAGCTTTGGTGATTCATGGTGGGTGTTTTCAGACATACATGCCATCAAGAGATGTTGTAGTCACTGAGTGATATATTGTATATGCACTTGTGAATTTATTCTTATTGCCCAAAGACTCTTTAAGCACTTCACCCATCACTTCTCTCAGATATAATGTTTCAAATTGCACACTGGAGGCAATTTTAAGGTCAATTCTCACCTCAGTATGTGCATCAGCCCAGAGGAGCTGTGATCCAGCTTTATCCACGGCTAATCCATTGGGCCATCCAAGGTTGTTGCTGATAAGGACCATTCGATTGGAGCCATCCATTCCTGCTCGTTCCAACTTGGCATTCTCACCCCAGTCTGTCCAGTACATAAACCTGAAGGAAGAGGTGAAGTCAATAAGCAGTTAATAGAAAAAACTAACGCATCATTTCTGAGTCTTCTCAACTTCTGGTTTTCTCTTGATCAAGACTAATAGTATATTATATTAGTATAATAAATAATTAGTTTAATAGTATATTAGTATATTATGCTAATAGTATAATATACTGATAGTATATATATTATGGTATAATACTATAGTACAACATAATAAAATAATTTATAATAATATAATTGTATATTATATATAATATTACTAATAATATAGCAGTATAATGTTATAATACAATATAATACTACTATTGTGCTATGATAATAATATAATATATTGTATATACATGTAATACTGATAACAATATTATTATTATATCAATATTATAATATTTCACAATATAACTCGAATAGTAATACAATATAATAATATATAATAATATTGTAATATAAAAAAGCTAAAGGTTTCCCCTTGACATTAAGTCTAGTCATGTCCAACTCCGGGGGGGGGGGGGGGCTCATCTCCATTTCTAAACTGAAGAACTGGCATTGTCCGTAGATACCTCCGAGGTCATGTGGCCAGCACGAAGCAGTTAACTTCCCACAGAAGCAGTACCTACATTTACATTACTTACCTTTGCATGCTTTCGAACTGCTAGGGTGGCAGAAGCTGGGCCTAATAGCAGGATCTCACCCCGCTCCCTAGATTCGAACCACTGACCTTTCAGTCAGCAAGTTCACCAGCTCAGCCGTTTAACCCGCTGCACCACCTGGGGCTCCATTGTAATATAGTAATACTAATATATCAAATATAATTACTACTGATAATATATAATAATATATAATGATATACTATTTTATTATTGTATAATTGTATATTCTAAACTGTAATGCTTTCGATTGTGAGCTACTTTGAGTCTCCGTATGGAAATATAAAGTGGGATATAAATAAATAAGACATTTATTACCAGCACTCACCCCATCTCATGGTAAAGTGCAATTGCTCTTGGGCTGTCCAGGTTCTCCCATATCAAAACTTTTCTCATCGACCCATCCAGGTTACCAACTTCAATCCTATTGATTCCTGTGTCAGTCCAATATACTTTGCGACCAATAGCATCCACTGCTAATCCGTCTGTGGTCTGCAGCCCTAGTTGGAAAAAACAGTTTATACAGTTATAATAGGTTTAATGTTTCTGTGACCCATTTACAGGTTTAGCAGTTTTCTTCTTCAAAATATCAGTCAAAAAACTATATTCCAGGTATTTTTATTATGGTCCCAGGAACTCTATTAGTACACTCACAGCAGGCCATACTAATTATACTGTAACTGTTCAAAATAGTCTACCTCTGAAAATCGGAAGGGGGACTGGGTTATTCTGGCACAGCATCAATTACCTGTAGTAATAATATCTTCATACTGGGAGCCATCCAGGGCAGCTCTGCTAATCTTCCTCAGCGTGCTGTCAGACCAATAAACCTTTCCTGGTGAGTGAATATGAAAATATTAGAGAATTCTGTTGGTTGAGAATAAGCATTCAAGATCTACTTTACAGTATGTAATAGAATCACATTTATTAATTCATCCAGTTTCTATATTTTCCCAACTTTCTAAAATCAAGAAAGCTAATAAAGACACCTATCAAGTATGAATGGATGCTAAATTCTCCCATCTAAAGAGGAAATTTCCACATCTCCTATTGGAATAGCCCTGTGTTAGAACTATTACTTCAATGTCTGTTGAAGTCTGGATTACACCAAGAATGGACTACCACTAGCAAAACAAGCTTGTTTTGCAAGAAAAAAAGCTTTATTTCTGGTTGCAATCTTCTTATTCAGTGGTTCTCAAACAGGCTGCAGGTTCGAATCTGGGGAGAGCGCGGATGAGCTCCCTCTATCAGCTCCAGCTCCCCATGTAAGGACATGAGAGAAGCCTTGCACAACGATGGTAACACATCAAAACATCTGGGCGTTCCCAGGGCAACATCCTTGCAGGCAGCCAATTCTCTCACACTAGAAGCGACTTGCAGTTTCTCAAGTCGCTCCTGACACGGTTAAAAAAAACCCCGTGGGTTTTGGCCTTCAACTCCCAGAAATCCTAACAGCTGGTAAACTGGCTGGGATTTCTGGGAGTTGTAGGCCCAAACACCTGGGGACCCACAGGATGAGAACCAATGCTCTTATTAAAGTCAGTTGTTCTTCTTTAAATGCCAGTGCTACCAGCCATTCTAGCCCATGGGATTTGCTGAAAAAACATACAGTACTTCCATTAGTGAATATGAAATATTCATCATCCACAAAAGAATAAATGTAGTCCATAACATGTTGTGAGCAATGTGTTATTCTCCACTAGGACATAAGCTTTATATATGCCTTGGTATTCTTTGACAAATAGATGAGTAAGAGTGACCTCTTGTCTGGGGATAATTCTGACATTTTGCTACAGAGAGTTCTCATCCAAACTTTAAACAAGTCTTAAAGCATTTTTAAATGTCAAAAGGAAAACACCTTGGGGAACATTTACTGCCCAATAGGAGAAAAGGAAAATATGGGAGGAGGGAATGATTGATTGGCTTATTGACTGCATTTTGGCACCACGATATGCAGAGTTAACCTTAAGAAATGTGGGTACAAAGTGGAGACCACAACATGAGAGTGTGGAGAAGAGCAAACCACAGACCACCTACTACAATGCAACCTGAGCCCTGCCACATGCACAATGGAGGACCTTCTCACAGCTACACCAGAGGTACTCCAAGTGGCCAGCTTCTGGTCAAAGGAAATCTTGTATAATGCCAAGTTTTTAACTTTGTTTGTGTTTTCATAAATACATTAGAACTGTACAGTGTTCCCTCACTTATCATGGGTGTTATGTTTCAGGACCACCCGTGGTAAGTGAAAATCCGCAAAGTAGGGACGCTGCACCGGGTTGGTCTCCTGACGTCATGCGGGTCCCCCCTCCTCCCTCTCTCCCGACACACCTGCTATTCGCCCCTCTAGACCTGTCCATCACCCTTCCCTTCCTTCCTTTCTTCCCTTCCTTCTCCTGCTTTCAACCCTCAATTCGCGTTTGACATGCTAAATAAAATAAGTAGTGCTAGCACTAAACCAACATTCCCTAATATGGTGAAATTACACAAAATTTCAGACCTTCCTGAGGATCCACTCCAATGGCAATGGTGTTTTTCATAGTCACATTGACCGAGATAACAACGTCAGCAAAATATGGAATGTCAAGTGAAACCAGCCGGATGTCTGCCCTTCTGGCAAATATCAGGAAGCTAGTCATTCCTGCAGAATTAAAGACACAACAATAGTATGAACAGGCAACGTTATTCAAGCAGCAACTTCATAAACACAATGTCAAAAATACCCATTTTCAGCTATTTAGGCAACAACAATAACTATAAAGACACAAATATAACATTTAGAAATATTACAAAAACTTTTAAGACTCCGGAGAGATGTTTCAGTCAAAAATGTTGCACTAAGTGATTTCTATATGACATAAAGGCATGCCCACAGGAGATATGAGATGAAAGAACACAAGCAAGAGTTACAGCTTTAAGGCTCCAGACTGTGCTTCTTTCATGCTTCTTGAAGTAGTAGGTCAGAGCCTGCTATCTGAATATGATTAGCCATCCAGAAAATCACATCTTTTCTACTTCTCAGGCTATCAAAGAAATAGCTTTTTAAAATGTGGACTAAATTCTTGCTGCCTTACTTAGGTCTCTATGTTTACTACTCCTTGCTCTCCCTACTGACTACCTCAAAACTCTTCTCCTTTCCTTCATTTTATTCTACCATTCGTTTCTAACTATGCTGAACAAACATATGCAATGACAGTATGTGAGGAAAATTGATTCTGATCAAAGAATTTGTATTTCCAAGGGTTGTTTATATTTTGAGCCTCCTACAGTTAATCTATTAATTATACATCACCCAGTTTGTTTATTTAGGGGTTTAATTCCATAATTGTTGTTGTCACAACTAAGCTTACATAGTTATAACACACAAAGATCTATTGGAAGCTGAGAGTGAATTCACATAGATTACTAAAGAAAATCAGACTTGTTCAATTCCCTGTGCATGTAATCTATCTAGACACATAATAAAAGTGAAAATATGTGTATGTTGTCAGAGTGTCTACTTACACAGGCAAGCTCCTGACTCCACAAACAGCTAAAGCTCCCATTACTCCGGAGACACCAACGGCCCTCCTTCCAATTACATTGCAGGTTATAGCAAGTGCCGTAAACATGTACAAGAGCCTTGCCTGTGTTCTCCACAAACAAAATCCTGCCCACCACCCAAGCAAATGTTTTCATATGGGAAAGATTTTATGTGTTTCCTCCACCACAGACATCCCAGTGTTTCTTACTCTCCCAATTGGTGTGGAATTTACATGATCCCACCCACTGCCTCTCTCATATTCCTTTTCCTATTCTTTTCTATGGCATACAGCAAACAGAGGATTTGATCAGCAACTGAAAGTATTAGAGAGGTTTGGGGAAAATTCACCTTGGATTTATAGGAGTTGTAGGTACTGGGATGTATAGTTCACCTGCAATCTAAGAGCACTCTGAACTCCACCAATGATGGATTTGGAACTAACTTGGCAAACAGAACCCCCATGACCAAGAAAAAATACTGGAGGCCTTTGGAGGGATTTATAGGAGTTGTAGTTCACCTACATCCAAAGAGCACTATGAACCCAAACAACAATGGATCTGGACCAAACTTGGCATGCATACCTGATATGCCCAAATTTGAATAATGGAGGGTTTTGAGGGGAATTGGTCTGGACATTTTGGAGTTGTAGGTACTCCAATTTATAGTTCACCTGCAATCAATGAGCACTCTGAACTCCACCAAAGATGAAATTGGATCAAACTTGGCACACAGAGCCTCCATGACCAGCAAAAAATACTGAAGGTCTTTGGGGAAAATTCACCTTGATTTGGAGGGGGGGTGGGGTTGTAGTTCATCTACATTCAGAGAACTGTGAACCCAAATACGGATGGATTTGGACCAAACTTGGCACACATACCTGATATGCCAAACTTTGATTACTGGAGGGGTTTGGGGGAACTGTCAGGATGTGTCTGTTTCAGCTTGTCAACAAGCTGCCCTTCCACTCCATGACAGTTTGGGAGTGAAATACTGGCGTCTCATAAGGGTCATCTGAACAGGGGGGGAGGGGGGAAGAAACCTGGGAGATGCTGCATGTTCTGTGGGAATGGAATGTAACCATTAGAATAGGTAAGAAGGGGTGTCAGGGGTTGGATGGGTGAAATACTCCAGGTTAGGGGGGAAAGAGTTAGAACTAGCTTTCACTTTGCCTTGGCAAGAAGGAATAATAAAGTTGTGTCCAAGGAACTTTCCTTGTGAGCGTGCTTTTGTTCTAGAATCTGGCAGAAGCTGACAGGAGCTGACCTTCCTTTTTGGGAGTTGTAGTTCACCCACAACCAGAAAAACTGTGACCTCCACTGATGATGGACCTGGACTAAACTTGGCACATAGAACCCCCATGACTAACGCAACTTGCTGGAAGGGTTTGAGGGAACTGACTCACCATAATTGGAGTTGTAATTTACCCTACAGAAAGAGAGCACACTGAACCCCACCAATGATGCATCTAGAGAAAACTTGCCCAACATAACAAACTTTAAGTACTGATGGAGTTTTTCATTGTTAACCCGGAATGATGTGAGTTGTAGTTCACCTCCAACCTTGTGCATTTAGTACAATTTAAAAATTGACTTTTCAAATAATCCGGGCAATTCCGGGTACCCAAGCTAGTTTCGAAAATAAAACTCATAGGAACTTGTATTTCTAATCCTATCGGAGGAAGACCAAAGTGTTGCAGAGCCAAACCAAATGAGGTCAGCACTTACCTGGTAAACAGGTTTTGCCGTCTGGTTGAAGGTTGATGCCAGTAGGACAGGTACAGGTGTGGCCTTTAGGAAGAGGGGCCAGGAGGCAAAGGTGACTGCACCCACCATTGTTAACACTGCACAGCGTGTGTACTGAAGCAGAAAGAGAGAGAGAATAGCAAAACTAATTCATCACAAGGAAGAGATCAGAAACCACATTCTTGAACATTTTATAGATTGGTACATGAGTATTAAACAGGATAAGGAATACTTTCTAGGATAGTAGCAACATTAGTTTTATGATTTAATTTTAGACTTTGGTTCGGATGATGAGTACAGCCCAAGGAAGAAACCTGGCTAGCCAACAAAGCTCATAGGGCCTGTGCCCTACAGATATTTTAGGCTTCAACTCCCACAGACCCTACTGGCATGTCCATTAGTCAGAAATTATGGAAGCTGTAGTCAAAAACACAGAAGGCAAAGGAATTCATGTCTTCCCTTCTTGACCTGGTAGTCCTTTGTACCTGGAGGCCTATGTCGATGAAAAACATGGATGTCCATAAGGTTCTCCAAGTTGTCTTGTAGAGTTTCACGATCCTCCCCAGTCCTTTTGTCAGCACTCTGGATGCTTTTTGCCTGCCAATCAGTCCAGAAGATTCGACTTCCATAAAGTGTAAGGCCAAACGGGTGAGGCAAATTGCTTCCAATCAAAATCTGTCGGACCCAAAAGAAAAATCCACAAAGCATTATGAGAGTTATGGTGTGGGAGTAATGTCCAAATTAACTATTTAGTGTGTAAAGCAAGTTGGGCAATGTGAATTCTACATTCAGCAGTCCACAGGAGCCCCCGGTGGCGCAGTGGGTTAAACCCCTGTGCCGGCAGGACTGAAGGTTCGAATTCGGGGAGAGGCGGATGAGCTCCCTCTATCAGCTCCGGCTCTTCATGTGGGGACATGAGAGAAGCCTCCCACAAGGATGATAAAAACATCAAATCATCCAGGCGTCCCCTGGGCAACGTCCTTGCAGACAGCCAATTCTCTCACACCAGAAGTGACTTGCTCCTGACACGACAAAAAAAAAAGCAGTCCACATGTGCTTTCCACTACGGCAGTGGTTCTCAATCTGTGCATCCCCAGATGTTTTGGCCTTCAACCCCCAGAAACCCTAACAGCTGGTAAACTGACTGGGATTTCTGGGAGTTGTAGGGGACCCACAGGTTGAAAACCACTGCACTAAGGGGTTCCACCATATGTGCTGTGGCAGGTTGGGAAAATGAATGTTGTTTCTTTAAAATAAGGTGCACACTTATTGTGAAGCAGAATCATGCTCCTGGAAATACCATTTACCTTGTAAATGCCCAAGATCGAATATGTGTTGCCATGGATGAATAAACTGAACAGAAACAATGACATGCTTTCAAATCTAATTTAAATCTGTATGGGAAACAACCAGGAATCTTCAACATAGTCCCCTTTGTCTTCAAAATAGGCGCAAATATATAAGGAGGGAAGTGATAACAAGAAAGTGAATTGAAAAGTCAGAAGGATCCTAGGGATGCTTGAACTCCACCTCAACCACATTAACAGATGCTCAGTTAGAAGATGGAAATCGAAGAGGCACTATCGTGTTTAATGAACCATGTGAAGGAAACTATTGAAAAGATGGCGAAAGGGGGGAGGCTTCCTTTAGAAATTTCAAGTTTGAGCAGTTAATACAAACTCACAAGTCTTGGACCCCATATTGTTACAGACACATTTGGTGAGGAGCAGGACAGGGCTTTCCTATGGGAGGCTAGGTTGGACTCCTTTCTGCTCTCTTTTTACACCATGGCAGTTGCCTTTGCGACATGGATGCACCATGCTCTGCTCAAGAATTGTGGTCAGTGCTGGAGCCAATTTCACATAAATATAGGAGTTCCACTGGACTTCAGTATCAATTTTTTGTTGTCTTAAAAACAGTTTAAATTAAGGTTTTTGATTTGACTGTGGTTTACATTGTTTGAGATCTATTTTCTTTAAACCTGCACATTTTCTTGGGTTTCACATTGGGAGAAAAGCAGAATACTAGATAGATAGATAGATAGATAGATAGATAGATAGATAGATAGATAGATAGATAGATAGACAGACAGACAGACAGACAGACAGACAGACAGACAGACAGAATCTCCTGCTTAAAATTCATGCAAGGAACCATTCACTCCAATTTACTTTCTTACCCTCCTATCACTGCCATCTAGGCCAGCATATTCAATTGTCTTCATACCAGCATCTGCCCAGTACAATCGCTGAGATTCATAGTCAACGGCCAGTCCATTGGGCCAAGTCAGGTTGGAAGAAATTATCACCGAGCGTCCAGAGGCATCCATGCCTGCACGTTCAATCTTTGGGTTTGCCCCCCAGTCAGTCCAGTACATGAACCTGCACACAATCCCAGAAAATAGTGTATGACTGCTGTTACTTACTAATCTCTGCATTTATTTATTTATTTGGTCAACAGGTTACACAAGCAAACTGCAATGCACTTTCATATGTCCAGTTTGATGCTTCAGATTGGAATCTGTCCAGAATAATAAAAAAAGTTGGCATGTGATTTTCTAACCATCAGTCTTACTACACAGGATCTCCTCTTTCCCACAAATATGAGACAAGCCTTCCCCTTAAGAAACCGCAGTGGAGTCTTTCCAAGGTTGGACATTGGCATGAAGAATGAAAGTACCGAGAAAAGTAATTCTCACCCTCCAACAGGATCCACCACAATATCTCTGGGTCTATCTAGATTCTCCCATATTAGCACAGTACGCATCGTCCCATCTGTATTGGACACCTCTATCCGGTCAGTTCCTGCATAGATTAGAGGAGGAAAAATAGAAAAGTCATAAAGTTTCCTTAATATGCTTAGCTTCAGCAAGACAGCTTTGTTATGTCTTCAATAAGATCATTGTCCATCATTCAGAAGTGTAATTTTCTTTTCAATTTCATACCAGAAGAGAAAATCTAACAGAAACTATGGCTGAGTAGTTCATCAGACCTGATTTTTTTTTTAGCAAAGATCCCTATTCCTTTTTTTTTAAAATAATCTTTATTGTTATTTCCATATAATAAAAACAACATGAAAGCCACATAAATCTCGAGTTTCCTATTCCAAAGTCTTAATTGGATAGTCGGCATTTCTAAGCATCCTTACCTAAAAGCAATGCCAACATCGATGAAACTGGGGACAAATATATTGTATCAGCTTTAGTGTATTTATTATGCATTCACAGATCGTGAGATATTTTCTTTTGTTTAAAATGTAAAAAAGTCACTTGTACAGTTGTTAGAGAATATTGTGAAAAAGGACTATTTTCTCAAATTATAAAACAAAAGTCCCTAGTCCCAAATTGCTGGCAAATCATTGTGTCAGATGTCTACAAGTTGGATGAAATAATATCATAGAATCATAGAGTTGGAAGAGACCACATTGGCCATCTATTCCAATCCCCTGCCTTGCAAAATACTCCGGACAGATGACCATCCAGCTTCTGTTTAAGATCTTCCAAGGAGCTTTTACCTTACTCCGAGGCAAAGAGTTCCACTGCTGAACATCTCTTGCAGTCAGGAAGTTCTTCCTAACGTTCAGGTGGACTTTCCTTTCCTGTGATTTGAACCTACTTCTCCAAGTCCTAGTTTCCAGGGCAGCAGAAAACAAACCTGTTCCCTTTTCCTAATGAAAGTCACAATCATCACATATTCTGTTGTGAGGTATTATTCATTCTCCCCAATATGAATTTTCAGGATGAGCAAATTAGAATTCAGAAGATGATCTTCCTAGGCTAATTAACTTTTTAATGTAGCAAGTGAACTCTTCTGTTGCGCTTAATACCTGCATCTGTCCAATACAACTTATTGGTGACCCAGTCAATAGCCAGACCAGCTGGGCTCTCCAAGCTGCTATCTGCCACAACCTGGTAAGAAATAAAAACAAGACAAAATTGTTGGTAAGAGAATAACTATTCCCTTAAGTCTCTGCTTATTCTTTTTGAATTTGCACTACCTTGTACCAGCAATCACTTCTGGAGGGAGGGAATGAACAAACTGGGGGATAGTGTCAGAACTAATTAAATACTAAGGCCTAGGCAGAATTTGGAAAAATTACTTTTCTGGACTGCATGTCAGGAAGTTACAGTTCATAAAATAACTTTTCCAAGCTCTGGATAACAAGTCAACACATGGCTGTTTTGATGATAAAAAGTAGATACACATAAAATAATGGATTTTGAGAAATATATATATGTAATGATTGCCTTCAATATATTTGTTTGTAATGTTTCACTCTGACTAATCTTTATAGTTTGACTAGTTTTATTTTACAGTGACAAAGTATTTGCCACCTTGAGTATCTATAAAACCCAAAATTGAAATGAGAGTATCTGCATCACTGGTGAAGATATAATAATAATAATAATAATAATAATAATAATAATAATAATAATATATTTATATCCCACCACCATCTCCCAGAGGGAATCGTGACGGCTCACAAAACAGTCAATGTGTGACATGCAAATAAAAGCCATTTACATATAGATCACTGTGCACATCTCAAAACAATTGAGATAATTAACTGAAATTAAATTCTTGAGTCAGTAAAATTAGGCAAAGTGGACATAATCAAATTCTAGACCCCAAACATGATCCTACTTATGTAAATCCAGGACAAGGGCTCTCCATTCTAAGAAATATTACCTCCTGGCCTGTTCCATCCCATTTTGCTCGACTAATGGAATCGGTACTGACATCCGTCCAATAGACGTAGTCATCCTTTGCATCCCAGTCCAGAGCCACAGCACTGCGCACATCAGCCAAGGGGATGACGTCATCAGAAAGGTCTTCTGTGTCGAAGCTGATACGACGGATGTCCATCCTTCGGGCAAAAAGCAGGAACTTGTCAAGACCTGATCAAAGGTCGAAAGGTCTTCTTTTAATTTCTCTAAGTTCAACAACATAGCAACAGACACAAAAATTATCCTGTTACATCTAAGCTCTGTGACTTCCACGCCCCTCTACATGGCTTTATTTATCCAACCCACAATGAGGAAGCAGATCAAATATGGTGCAATTAGAAAAGAGACAGAATGCAGATGGGATCAGTGGAAAGGTCTCTTGGAATGAGAATAATGGGCAGCAAATTCTGAGAAACCATATCCCTAAATGAAATGAACAAAGCAGAGAGAAAAGGGAGTTCTGTCCTTCTAACAAGGAGGCAGAAATGTCTGTACTCTATAGAAACTAGAACCTGGAAACATTACTTTCTTGGACCAGAACTGCCAGAATTTCTCAGTTAAGAACAGATATAACTTAAGACTAACAACACAAAGCCATCCTGGACTAGATCAAGGGCCCACCTGGACCTTGTCAACAGTTGTCAATCAGATATTTCTGAGATGCCACAGACATATCATGAATGCAACAGCCCTTCCCCATGGTGAATTCTTCAGAAAAATCTGCCTCTAATGCTAGAGGTTACATGAAGTTACCATGGTTGTTAACTCTTAATGAATTTAACTGGATTTATCAATTGTTGGAATTCAACCCCACACTGCCCAAGTTTGAAGTCCTCAATGAGGTACAGTTCAGTTAGCATTAGAATAGTCTCTATTGAAACCTTAGAAGAGATGGGTGTTTAGAGTAGTTCAAATCCATGAAGAAATGCAGTTATTTTTTATAATTGTACATAAACCTTTTGTGATTTTTAAGATTGGACTCTGCACCTTTGCCTGCCTAAGCTCTGAATTCTTTGCAGCCACATCACATGGCACTTCATATTTTGCTTGTTGTGAGCTGATGCTCAGACTTTTAGTATCCTGTTTGTTTTTGGATGCTCTGCTATGATGAACTTAACTGGATTTATCTAGGCCCCTTTTAAAATCCAGTTCAGCTAGTAGCCATCAATGGATCTTGTAGCAGAGCCTTAAGTTAATAACATACTAAATGAAGAAATAGTGTATGTACTCATGTATAACTCTAGAAATTTTAGTTGATACCCCCCAAAATGATCCTAAAAACCAGGTCGAATTCTCCGTAGGTCAATATCAATACTGTACCTTAACACTTAGCAAAAGAAAAAAAAGAAAGAAAAAAGTAAAAAAGAGCTTATACTCTCTGACAACGAACATTCCTTCTGGCCTTTTTGAATGCCTTTTGAATGGCAGCAGTGATCAGGGGCCCCTATCCCTAAGGTGGCATTGGCGATTTCCTCTCTCTGCAGAATCAAAATCAACTAATATAAAAATCTCTATTTTTATCCTCAAAACCTGGCTTTTGACTTATGTATATATGATACATCCTTTTAGGTGTCCTCAATACTGGTTGAGGAGAAGTTATGTTTTCAAGCTATGTTATTGAATCTATGACAATCCATTGGGTGCCTCGAGTTTTAGTATCGTATCTTCTTATGATTCTATAAACCTCTGCCAGGTTTTGATTACAGGTAGTCCCCAAGTTATGACAAGATAAGTTATGCAGGTTTGTTCTTAAGTTGAATTTGTATGTAAGTCAGAACAGTATAACTCCAGCCACATACACACACACACACCACGGCTTTGGATAGCATAGTGAAGGGTTTGTTTTGCTGCCTGTGTCCCTGCTCAGAAAATTTCACCTATGATATTGGATTTTGAAAAAAGTGGCTTGTTGTGGAAACAAGGATTGGTGAGAAAGTTTCAGTAGAGACCCCTTTCCCCCATGATAACTCTTTCATGAGTGAATTTCCCTTCCTAGGGATAGATTTCTCTCACTTCATTTTGCTTCTCCTTCATTCTTAAATATGAATCGTTTGTAAATTGGGTGTGGTTAGTTGGGGATTGCCTGTATTTGCTCAGCATATTTGCACCACACTTTTCTCAGTAACATTAAAAGCCACAAACACATTAACTTTTCCTTGTAGCCCAGCCCCTGAATTTTTCTGGCAAACATCTACATTTTTTCAAGCATATCATTCTTTTTTGTGAGATGCAACCAGATGTTGTTATTATTATATTAAAATGTAGCTCTGCCATGAGTTTACATTATAATAGCAAAAACTGTATTACCAATACTCTTCCCAATAATCCCAACATAGAGCCTGGGGATTTATTTTCATTTGTAATCCTTTTTTGTATCTTTCTATCAGTCTGCAATGCACACATACATGCAGGTGCATTAACTCAGTGGTTCTCAACTTGTGGGTCCCTAGATATTTTGGCCTTCAACTCCCAGAAATCCCAACATCTGGTAAACCGGCTGGGATTTCTGGGAATTGTAGGCCAAAACACCCGGGGATTCACAGGTTGAGAACCACTGCATTAGCTCTTCTTACTGCACTTACTCTGGGCACAGGTGTGGCTGCTGGTCTTCCGAAAACCTGTGGGGCAGGCACAGGTGTATGCTTTGTTGTTTGGTAGGCACAGGTGAGTGCAGCCCCCGTTGTCAGATCCACAACGATTTCTCCCTGCTCAAATAGCCAAAAACAAACACATATAAGGAAAACCAGCAAGAGGCAGGCATTAGCAGATACATGAGAAAACAGCCAGAGCCTCAAAGAGGTCTGCTTCTTTAATCAATATTTATTTCTGTCCATGTAAACATACCCAGAAAAATACTACTCCTACAATGCAAACATGTGGCACTAATATACTCCCCCAAAATTATTTTTTTCCTGCTTTGAAGAGACAAGGTTCAATAAAGTATTGTTATTTTAAATCAAATTACTTTTTGCTCTACAATTATATTTTTCTGCTTCCTAATGTGTTAGATACTTTGTATTCTCATTGTGTGGATTGAACATAATTTGTCTGTGGTTCAAGGACCAGTGTAAAGAGGGATCAGAGGGCGGTTCTAGCCCTAGGTTATTTATTTTTATTACTGGTAAGAGGTAGACAGAGGTTTTGTTGTTCATTTTTTAGTTCTGGTCATCGACCGATATATATATATATATATATATATATATATATATATATATATATATATATATATATATATATATATATATAGAGAGAGAGAGAGAGAGAGAGAGAGAGAGAGTGAGTGAGTTAATGTTATTTTCTACACTGTTCTTCGTTGGTGCTATACAGCTAGCAGTGGGAGAGGAATTAACAGGTATAATAATTGTTCTTACATCCTCAGGATCAGTTCCTGGAAAAGATTATCTGAATGCAGCTGCTACAAATTATGTCATCATACCATGCTTAAGAACTCATAGTGCAATTGCTGGTAGCAAAATTACGGCGATCCTATGCACAGTTACTGGGGAGTCAGCCTAAATGAAGATGGCATTCCTAAATGAAGATGTATTTAATTGAACAATACACTCAAGGTTGAATTCTGATTAGATTCAAAAAAGCAAGTGATCTGCCAAAATACGTAGAGCGCTGATTCAGTTCCTTAGGAGATATAAGGTAAATAAACATGGAATGTATTTGAGCATTTCATAGAATTACCTCCTAATTTTTACATGGAAAAAGTTTTTAAAATGAAAGTCAACACAGCCATATTAAGTCACCGATACTGCTAGTGTTTCTTAATGACAGCATTTTTGTTTATCCGTTCAGTCATTTCCAACTCTTCATGACCTCATGGACCAGCCCAGGTCAGAGCTCCTTGTCGGCTGTAGTCACCCCCAGCTCCTTTAAGGTCAAGCCAGTCACTTCAAGTACACTTCCATCCATCTTGCTCTTGGTCGGCCCCTCTTGCTTTTTCCTTCCATTTTCCCCAGCATCATGGTCTTCTCTAAGCTTTCCTGTCTTCTCATTATGTGGCCAAAGTACTTTATCTTTGCCTCTAATATCCTAATATCTCTCCAGTCAGCAGCCAGGCTTTATTTCCTGGAGTATGGTCTGGTTTGATCTTTTTGCGGTCCAAGGCACTCTCAGAATTTTCCTCCAACACCACAGTTCAGAAGCACCTATCTTCCTTCATTCAACCTTCCTTATGGTCCAGCTCTCACATCCATAGGTTACTATGGGGAATACCACTGCTTTAACTATGTGGATCTTCATTGCCAGTGTGATATCTCTACTCTTAACTATTTAATTGACAGCATGCCTGAATATAATATTTTCCCACCTTGTAACTGGATATCCCCATGCTTTTATAGCAACATGGTAATGCAAAAACATTTTCTGTTTAAACAGTGGATAGATGTCATCACCTCTCTTTTCTCTCTGAAATTACCTGCTGGCTGACGTTGAGGGTGCAATGTGTGGATATCCATGGGGAAGTGAAGCTTATTGCGGATGATTTCCTGGTTCTTGCCAGTAAATTTATTGGCACTGTTTATACTTTTAGTGTGCCAATCTGTCCAGTAAAGGCTATCTTCAAAAACTGTGATGGCAAAGGGGTGCGGAAGGCCTGCAGAAGAAGTTCAAGAAAAGACATATCGTAAGCTATTTCAAGGCTCCAGAGATGACAAGACAATTTTAATTTTTGAAGAATTTTCCAGCTCCATCCTGGAGCATGTTTCCTATTTTTTTTTTAAAAAAAAATCTAACCCATCCATATATCCCCTCAGTGATTGCTGCCTTTTCCCAGTACAATTTCTACAACTCAATTTCTTCAACTTACCTTGGCTAATAACAGCCTTCCTGTTCTGTCCATCCAAGTCAGCTCTCTCAATTACATGATGCTTGGCATCAACCCAGTACATCCGGTGCCCTGCATAGTCAATAGTTAGCCCATTTGGCCAGAAAAGATGAGTGTCCGCAATGATGCGCCGATTGGAACCATCCATATTTGAGTACTCAATGCGAGGGGTATTCCCCCAGTCTGTCCAGTAGATGGTGCTATTAGAAAAGAGAAAATAGATCCATGTTTCTCAAAGCACTGCTGGTAAGAACAACCAGTACTACAACATAAAGTCAAAGAGACAAAGACAATTGGGACAGTCACAGTAACCAAGAGCTGTGAATCCAAACATCAAGGTGCAAACAATACCTCTGCCAAACTACTTTTGGATAGAGCAGATATGGACAAACTTCGGCCCTCCAAGTGTTTTGGACTTCAACTCCCACAATTCCTAACAGGTGGGAGTTGAAGTCCAAAACACCTGAAGGACTGAAGTTTGCCCATGCCTTGGCTAGAGGATGAGGAGTAAACTGCTGGGGAGGTTACGGATGAGAATTGTGGACGATATTTAATTTTAAATGTAATTTTAATGGTACGGATATTTTTTATTGTAGCTTAGCTGTATTTTAATTTGCACCCATCACACAAATATTTAATTGTTTTTAAATTGTTTTTAATTTTTGTATTTGCCATGTTTTGGTCCTGTTACAGTAAGTTGCCTTGAATCCATTCTTCCATGGGGAGAAAGTCAAGGTAGAAAGACAGTTAATATAAAGTTTATTGACTTTAAAAACTTTACAAACCAGCAACAACAGCAAAATTATTATTATTATTATTATTATTACTACTACTATTTACTTTTATCCCTCTTTTCTCCCACAGATAGGACTCAAAGTGGCGAACAAAATAGAAAAAACAAAACTACATAATACAGATAACCATCATCCCCAAACCCGACATATAAACAATAAAACATCATTTTGCATAAAATACAAATTGCATAAATATGAATAAGCCTAAAAATGATCCCATAAATCATTCTCATTAAGATCCTTATGCCTCAGGCCACTGAGGCTGTCGTAAAACATTCAAACATTAAACTAAGCATCTCAGAGCCCCAAGTCTTTGGTCATGTGATCCTTGTCTGACTGAGATAAGCTGCTATTGTGTATCGTCAGGGAAAGCTTGCTTTCATAGAAAGGTTTTCACCTGGGAGCAAAAGGTCAATAACAAGGGGGCCGAATGCACCTCTTTGGGGAGGGAGTTCCAGAGCCGCAGGGCCACCATGAAAAAGGCCTTCTTGCTCATTCCCACCAATTATACTTGTGGCAGAGGTGGGACCGAGAGGAGGGCCCCTCCTGATGATCTCAGGGCTCGTGTGAGCTGATAGGAGGAGATGCGGTCCCTCAGGTAGGCTGGGCTTGACCCGTTATGGACTTTGTAGGCTAAAGTCAGCAAAACCGTTTGCACCAGCCATCAGAGGTGCTTGAAAGAGTGGGATTCCAAGAAGAGATTCACTGCATAGGACAATGGCTTGGATCCAGAGCTCCTGACATAGCATTCAAAAAGTTATTTTTTGTCAAAAGTTCCTCTGCCTCTCTAAAACTATTTATTTAAAAAATCTGCTATAGAGGATTGGGGAAAGCAGTGTGGGAGAAGGTGGTGTGAGAGCTGCAAAGAAAAGGGGAAACAGAAAATCATCTACTCTTCTTCAACTCTTTCAATAGCATCATCAGCAGAATTTCAGTCTCTTCCAAGAACAGGAGTCCATTCATTTGTAGGAAAGCTAATCTGCATCCAGTCAAATGAATGTGGCCAACTTAAGCCCAGTAGATTTTAATAGAGAAACTAAGATAGGGACCAATAACTGTCTTTCACTTACCCCTCCATGGGATGAAGAGCAATGGCACGAGGCTTTTCTAGATTCTGCCAAAGAAGCACCTTCCTGTGTGTGCCATCCAGATTTGCCACTTCGATGCGAGATGTCCCGGAGTCTGTCCAAAATAACTTGTCATGGATCCAGTCAACCGCCAGACCACCTAGAACCCATTTAAAAAGGGAATTAGTAGAAGCTAGTCATTCTAAAACTGATGCTCCCGAGAAATCCCACAAAACCCATGCCACTAAATACGTGAGGAGAGGTTGATAGACGTTCCAGTACAAGAATACCCGGTGGGCACCAAGTTAGAAAAGACCAGTGTAGGCTATGCAACAGAATCCCACTAAACAAAAATAACACAGCTTTTTTGTTCCACAATAGTATAGTGGGGAACTATTGGATTGATATTGGATTGCATGATTGTAAATAAGTGATTTTAAGGTTTGATATATTTTAATGATTGTTTTAATGTATATGTTCTTATTATGTGTGTTTTTGGCATTGAATTGTTCCCACCTTGGAATTCCATTCCCTTTCAAATATATGTAAGCTGCCTTGAGTCCCCTAAGGGGTTGAGAAAGGTGGGGTTTAAATATGGTAAATAAATAAATAAACTATAGTCCTTTTTTGTTGAATTTTACATCTTACCAACACTTTGTTGACATTGAGCATCACAACTGCTCACCTCTGCACCAAATGAAAACGTAAACAAGAGTCCTTCTTTACCTCTTGGCCAATCAACACAACACAAGATGGCAAAAACTGTAGTTTATTGACTTATGGGGTCATCATTTCCTTTCCTCATATATGGAGTAAAGAATTCTGACCCCTTGCGATACTCACCTGGACTCTCCAGTCCTGTGGACACTACCTCCTCCACATTGCTACCATTCAGGTTCGCTCTCATAATCCGATCCAATGTGACATCAGACCAGAAGACCAACTCCTTGCTGTGGTGAAAATCAAGAGCAATGGCATTTTCTAGGTTGTTCAGAAGTAGGGTGTATTCTGATCGATGGGGTAAAACTTGCCGGATATCAATCCGATTGGCAAAGAGTAACACAGGCTCTGGCCCTGAAGTACACAAGTAGGCAAATAAAAGAGAGAATCAGATCAGCAATCTCACCATAACAGCAACACAGATCTAGTTGATATATAGGAAGCCAACACAAAATACTACATAACATGAATGTTAACACACAACATAGCATTCACATTAACACATGTAACTTCTGTTATGGTAATTTTGGTTTTTCAGTCTGTAAAACATTGCTCAAAAATGTTTTCTAAAGCCATTACTTTTTGGATTCAAATTACTGAGAAATCCCTCTACCCCAAGGCCACCAGTCATATTGGAAATGAGATTTATTAACTGCAGTACAAAAGAATTATTTCTCTAAACATTGTGAAACCAGTTCCAACCTCATAGCCTCTTTATTTTTCTGGATTTCTTTCCACGTCAGGAGCGACTTGAGAAACTGCAAGTTGCTTCTGGTGTGACAGAATTGGCTGTCTGCAAGGATGTTGCCCAGGGGACGCCCAAATGTTTTATCATCCTGTGGGAGGCTTCTCTCATGTACCCGCATGAGAAGTTGGACCTGACAGATGGAAGCTCACCCAGCTCCCCAGATTCAAACCATCAACCTTTTGGTCAGAAGTCCTGCCAGCACAAGGGTTTAACTCATTGTGTCACTGGGAGCTTTTCAACTTGGCTATTCAACAGTCCTGGGAAACTGTGGCTTCTCAGGAATTAGATCAAGCATTTAAGAGATAAATTTAATGTTATCTCTTAATTTAATTCTAGCTTCTTTAACATCCATTCCACTGGATTTTACCTAATACTTGCTAAAACGCTGATTGCACACCTGTACAGGCTGACAGTTATCATTTGCATTTCCATTTTCATCATAAACATGCAGTTGGGGACAGGGGAGAGAGGAAAAGAGCATGCATCTAGTTCAGCCATGGGGACTGTGCAATCTTTGAAGCATTTGCATGATTCATTGCAGGTTCAGAAGCTCCTCATCTTAATTTGCACACCAATTTTTCATCTTATTATGGCCAATCACATCCAGTAACAACAACAGCGATGTAATGTCCAATCTGTTATAGGCAAAAAATACATTGCTGAAACCTCATGCCCATTTGGTCACTTCCAGTATTTTAAAAAGTGATTGTTGCAACTCACTGACATCTTGGGGAGGAGGAAAACTGCAGCCCCCAGACCCTCAGTGGTGACCCATCCTGGTTTTGTCCATTATGCAACAATGAAGGCTTCCATACCAACTGAACCCCTAAGCAAAGCCAACAATATCCCATCTGACTCAACCATGGCTTCTGTCTTGATCCTACAATGTCAGGAAAAGCCATTATCCCACAAGAACAAAAACTCTTTACCAAGTGCTTTACAGCTGCGCTTGTCTGGGCGAAGCTCATAGCCTTGCTCACACCAGCACTGAAACCCCCCCTCACTGTTGGTGCATCCTTGGCTGCAGTATCCTTCCTCTGCACATTCATTCACATCTGGAACAGGAAAAAAAGGGAGTTACTTTCATTTTAAAAGAACAAAAGAGACATCTGTCCCCACCTTGAGATTCCACTCTCTTGCAGATATGTTGCTTAGTACCGTCAAAACGCACACTTCTTTACTAGTTACAATAACACCCCACTCCCCCCCCCCCCCAGAACAGCTTGCCTCCTCCCCTTGACAGGCAATCCCCAACTTACGAATACGATAGGTTCTGTAGGTTTGTTTTGAAGTTGAATTTATATGTAAGTCAGAACAGGTACAATTTTAAGTGTAACTCCAGTCTCTCTCTTATTCATATATAGAGAGAGGGGGTGAGGGGAGACATAGGGAAGGGTTGGCATCCCTTGTGGTGTTTGTTTTGCTGTCTGTGCTGTCTGTGATGTTGATGAGGCAGAGAAGAGAATGATCCAGTCCAAGATCACTCAAGTGAGTTTCACAGATCAATGAGAAAGTGAACCTGGCTCTCCCCACACTGTAAATACTCTCACAGGCCTCCTAACCCTAGCTTCTAGAAGATCTCTTTATTGCATAATAACTTCTCTTCATTCAGAGATTTTATGAAGAGATCTACTTGCATCTTTCCCCACTACTCCTCCATTCTTGACATGAAAAATTAGTTGGAGGGATAGATCAAATAGGTGAACAATCTGTATGGACTGGTAGCACTAGGAGTTGTCAAGATGGAATGTTCCCTTAAATCTAGCAGGTGATCAGCAGAGGCGCATTTCAAAGCACTCCAGATTAACTGTGTAGCTCACTTTGCACTTGTTCAGATCCAGCCTCTAGTACTGCTAAAATAGTAGCCAGACCTTGTCAGGGACCTGAGAAGAAATCATAATCTTACAGTGCCTCTGATTGTAGCTGCCACTGATTCAACCAACAGACAGACTAAACTTTATAGCCGCTTACCCTGACATGACCTGCCATCTTCCAGGAGCCTGTAGCCTGTGTGGCATGTACACTGCACTGTCCCTCGAGTCATCTGGCACTTCTGGGCACAACCTCCATTGTTGAGATTACAGTTTTCCTCACCAGTTCGAGGACCTGTGAAATAGATAGGTCAAATGTCCACACAGCAGTAACCAAGAATACAGCTGCTTGCTAAATTAACATTAAAAAGCTAGCAGAAGCCCTGAGTAGACAAGTTGGTGACGGTGCGGATTAGTTTAGTGTAATTTAGATTAAGCGTGTTATATGGTTTGTTGATATACTCTGTGTTTTTTGTAAACTGTTTTTATATGTTGTACACCGCCGCGAGTCGCCCTAGGGCTGAGAGCGGCGGTCAACAAATGCATTAAATAAATAAATAAATAAATTGTTCTGGGGAAGAGGGGCAGGGCTGGAAAGAAGCCCACTTACTTAATTTGCAGAACTATACTGGCTTTTTCATAAAACAACTCTAGTCACCCTTTCCAGCTGAGGCATACATCAACTACTGGCATCTTTTGAATCTCTTCCTACAGGCTCTTGTGCCTCTCGGATTAAATTTCCAATCAGTTATAGTAACTGGGAAGCAGCACGCTGCAAAGTGAGACTTACGACAATTTTGATCAGGACTCTCATCACTGCCATCTCCACAGTCATTTGCACCATTGCACAGCTTTCTCTGGCCAATGCAGCGTCCATTCCCACACAGAAACTGGTCAGGAGCACACTGGGGACTCCCTAAAGTGGGGAAAAAGGAAGTTAGTGCTACTAAGGGTTGGTAATCTAGTGTGTTGCCATTTGCAGTCTCATTTCAGAAAATAGTAAAACTTTCTCTAGTATGTAAAGCACAAACCTTAATTGCTGTAATGAAGGTCATCTATTATATACTCTTTCAAGTATATACAGATATATCCTTCCATTTCCACTTAATGTCAAATAAATGGCTTGTCAAGAATGCTTGTGTTGTTTGCCATTATGACTATTTTTAAAGTGATTACATTATTTAATTGGAGCCCCCAGTAGTGCAGTGGGTAAAACCATTCAGCTGCTGAACTTGCTGACCAAAAGGTCGGCAATTTGAATCTGGGATGGGGTGAGCCCCTGCTGTTAGCCTCAGCTTCTGCCAACCTAGCAGTTCAAAAACATGCAAATATGAGTAGATCAATAGGTACCACACGGCAGGAAGGTAATGGCGCTCCATACAGTCATGCCAGCCACATGACCTTGGAGACATCTATGGACAGCTCTTTTGAGGTTAGCTTGCTCTTTGGCTTAAAAATGGAGATGAGCACCACCCCCAAGAGTCGGACACGACCAGACTTAATTTCAAGGGGAAACCTTTACCTTTACATTATTTTACAGTGTTTATTCTTCTGGTTTTACTTACTGTATCTTCACCTGACATTTTTTTTAAAAGAAAGAGTGTTTCAAACATAAAATTCTATTTATTATATGCAGTGTATTGGTGAGACAAAGAGATTTTAAATGTATATCCAACAGCTTCAGTCCAACAAGTGCTCACCATCTGTAATAATCTATAAAGTCAGAATTCAACAGAAGAACCTTTCAGCAAACCTCTGAAGAGGTGAATTCCATACTCCATGGAAAACCCATAATATTGCCTTAAGAGGATAGTGACAATCTATTGACTAGAACAGATGGACAAAAAAAATATACTATCTTAGGGCCATTTATTTTTCTGACCCTTTAATGCCCTCCTTTCCCCATCCCCTATCCCTTGGAAGAGATTCCATTTTTACTTATGTGTAGACATAGACAACATCAGTAATCTTTATACATAACATTGATAATCAAGACAGAATAGGTTGCCTTATCTGGAAAGATAGAATTGGTTAAAGTGTGGCCCTCCGGATGTTGTTCGATTGCAAAAGGTAGCTAAATAGCACAGCCAACAGCTTCAGTCCAACAATATCTTGAAGATCATACAATTTTCCCTCTTGTGGTAAGAGAAACTAAAATCTGGAACTCTCTTCCTAATTCTGGGTAGCATAAAAATTTAACAGCACAATCTCAATATAGGAAGACCACATAGAAAGAAGCACAATGCTGTAGTTTTTACCTGTATCCTCACAGTTTTCCTCATCACTATTATCAGAGCAATCATCTTCCCCATCACAGCGCCAAGACAAGCGGACACACCGACCAGATTTACAGCGGAACTGGTCAGCTGTGCACATTGATGTGGCTGAAGAATTCAAAGAGAGAGTTTAGTAAAAGTGATGAGTTGGCTTCGCACCTTTCTTTCGGCCACTTTTTCACAGCATCAAGCTATAGCCTCCTCCTCATCCCTACTAGTCTCCTGCAAGGGTACTTACTGCAGTTCTTCTCATCTGATTGGTCATCACAGTCAGAGTCACCATCACATCTCCATCCAGCATTAATGCACAAGCCACTGTTACACATGAACTCCCCAGAGCGGCATGGTTGGTGGGAGGCTATGAGAAAGGCATGTTGTAATCAGTTGAGACAAATCAGAACAACAAGTGCAAATCTTTTCATTACATGCTCTGGAGGAGCAGCAAAAACATATTTAATTCGAAGTTGTTCTAGCTATTAAGCCCCAATTTTAGAGGATGCCAGGAGCTAAATTTAACCCTCAAAAGTATTTCTTTTGTATCCTAATCCTTGCATCTTAATGCTCCAAAGTCCCTTACTTCCTTATCATTCTTTTCAAAGAAAATCCAGTAAGCAAAACAGAATAACTCGGGGAGATATGGCGGCCTATTAATAATAATAATAATAATAATAATAATAATAATAATAATAATTATTATTATTATTATTATTATTATTATTATTATTATTTGAAACACAAGATGAGTCCACAGCAGACAAGATCACTCTGCTGGCTGTTGTATTGGATCACACATCGAACACTTCCCAAGTGTCTAGGACTGTGTGATGTATTGGAGAATAATGCGTGCAGATCCCAGTAAGGTGGCCTTCTGCAGCTGGCAGATGGTAATTTTGTCAGTGCTGATTGTGTTTAAGTGCAGACCAAGGTCTTTAGGTGCTGCATCCATTGTGCTGATCACCACTGGGACCACCTTTACTGGCTTGTGCCAGAGTCTTTGCAGTTCGATCTTTAAATCCTCATATCGTGTCAGCTTATTATTTTTATTATTATACCAGTTTTGGGGAATTTCTTCATTCATTTTGAGAACAAAGTTTGAGTATACCTGATATATTGTATTTATTTCCTTAGCTATGAAACTGAAATGCTTCGGCTCAATGTGCTCATGCTTTCCCTGGGTAACTTACAGCAATCAGATTCATCAGACCAGTCTCCACAGTCATCATCTCCATCACAGTGATAGATGTCTAGGATGCAGCGGCCATATGCACACTGGAATTCCTCCAGGCTACATGTTGCTGCAGGAATATCGGATGCTAAAAAACAAACATCCAAAGTGAAAATGGGACCCCTTCAGAATATTCAATAGATTGCCTTATCTGAATTGCTTGGCACCAGAAGTCTGTTGGATATCATCCAGTCCAATCCCCTGCCTTGTATAATGAGATCTTTCAGAGACCAGACCCAAGTCTAGAGAGGAAATTCCTGTATGCTTCATATGCACCTTATACACAGACTGAATATGGTTTTAGAAAAAATGAAACAAAGCTTGGCCACACTGAACTACCAGAAAGCAAAGGTGTCACTATTTCAGCCACGCATGGACAATTTTGGAGTGTTTTGGGTTTTTGAATTTTGGATAAGGAATGCTCAACTTGGACTTCTTGCCCTGTAATTAACAGAAAGCTATACATTATGTTTTTATTTCTGAATAAAAGATCCATAGAAGTACAGGAATCTATGAATAATGAATCGTTCAACAACTCTTGATGGTTTTCTTTGTGCTATCTATTGGAAAAACAAAACTCAGAGTGCAAAAATATTTTCAATCTGTGTCATACAACTTTGTCTTATTAGCTCATATATAAGGATATCTGACTGATGGATAAGAAACCATGAGTTATTAGGATTAAAGGCAGACTGATAGTAGGCACACTGAACACATTCAGAATGGCATCAAACACAGATCTAGCATGCTGAAGTCAGGAGGCAGGGAAATTGTACCCAGAACTCCCTCCATGTACATGCTAGATTTAAGGGGGGGGGGCACCATTGTGGGGTACTTCTATATCACTTTTCAGCAGGGCCACACTCTGACATAATGCTCTGGCCATGTCCATGCAGACATGAAAAATTCTGTGGATTAAATGCATGTCTGTATCCACCACCTTTTCTCATGTGCTAACTACAACTGTCATAGGTAAGCTCCCGACCATGAATAGTCTATGCAGCCTGAAAGACAGTTGCATCTGTCAAGTAGGAAATTTAGGTACCACTTTATGTGGAGAGGCTCATTTAACTAATTTACGATGCCATAAAACCTTCTAGCAGCATGCAGAAGAATGAGGAAGTACTCCACCAAAGGACTCAGTGTCATAACTGAGATGGTTTTAAAGCAATTTTTAATGTGAATATAAGTGATTTTAATGTTTGTATATATTTATGGTTTTATGTCACGACATTGAATGTTTGCCGTATATATGTTGTGCTCCGCCCTGAGTCCCCTGCGAGGTGAGAAGGGTGGAATATCAATGTTTAAAATAAATAAATAATAAATAAGTGGACAGTGAAGCAGAAGCTTCCCCTATGGCTGGAAACAAACATACCCTCATGAAGCTGGAAAAGCTGGAATGTTAAATTGCCTCTGTGTATGTCTATATATATTGTATGTCTAAATGGCATTGCCTGTTTGCCATGTATATGTGCATTGTAATCCACCCTGAGTCCCCTGCAAGGTGAGAATATAAATACCATAAATAAATAAATAAATAAATAAATAAATAAATAAATAAATAATTCTCTATGGGCCTGAAGAGCAAGCTAACCTCAAAAGTAGCTTCAGGGCAGCACTAAGTAATAATTTTCCACATCTCTAGAGACACAACTATGTATGCCTAAGAGGTAGCTATATGTAGTTCTTACATTAGCCAAGTTGTAAGACCGAAAAACAGACTGTTGGTTTATGGGCTTAAATGATGCCAAAGCTCCTTAGCAGGAGACACAGCAAACAATGCCAGACCTCTGAAAGCCACTGTTTTTCAGACACTTGATACCAGACCAAGCATCTTTTTCCATACAAATTCTTCCCAGCATACTCTGACCTTTTGCAGGATCCAGTATAATCCAAAACAATGATTTTACAATGCTTTCTTTCCCCAAGGCAGTTATTTAGAGCACAGAAAACAGCCCTCCAAGAAGATCTGCATAGAAGCAGAGAATTTTCTGTGTCCAATAAAGTGTATGGGAAGAATGGAAGAATCAAGGAACCAAAACATCAGAATCATGAAGCAGAAAGACTTTTGTTTGGGAAGAAATGTAAGTAGAATCGATACAACGGACATACAAGTAAATCTAACAGCATCTCAGGCAAGATAAGCAGCCAACTGAGGAGTCTAATGCATTGTCATCAAGACAACGGAATTTCCGCCCCTATTTCTCTCACTAGCCATGCATTTCCTTCATACTCATATACAAGCAAACATACAGTGGGTAGCTGGCAGGCTGAGGAAAAGGAAAAGTAGGGGAGACTATTACAGTTTCAGAGCGAGGTGAAATAGTTCACTGTGTTTTGAAATGTGAGGTGTCGGGTATAAGGTGAAGTCAGAAAAGGTATATTAGAAACACAAAGAACTAGTCTCACATCATCCTACAAGGTTAGATTATTCTTCCTCTCCCAAGGAACAGGTATATACATTAATAACCAGCCAGAGAAGGCAAATCCAGTGAAAAGGCAGGCATGACTTTGGTTTCTTCTTTGAGTCTCCTCCCAGCTCAAAAATCTCTCCAGCTTTGGCAGTTTGCCAGCTCTCATTATCTGGAGAGGTGAAAGACAACTTCTCCATCTGCACCCCACCCTCACCCCTGTCCCCCACCCTTGCCCTTCAAGAGCTGGCAAGCCTGATTTTCTCCCTCTCCCCCCTGTAAAAAAAAATCCAGCCACAAATTGAACCCTTTTGAAGTTTCACCCTATCTAGAACAAATTCTGAAAAATGCCCTTGAGACAGAAGTGGGGGAGAAAGAAGAGAGTTCTCCGATTTACAGCGCATCTAGTTACTGTTCAGATAAAGGGAGTAAGGGCAGATATGAAAACCAGATTGAAGTGCTATCCACAAAGGATAAAATCAGCTTCTCTAACATGTCATTATTTAACTCCAAAACACTTTTAAATGCCTAAACAACCGGTTCAGTGGGGTCAGGAAAAGATGATCTAAATACACACAGGAAGGGAAAAGATGGAGGGACGAGTCCCAGGAAATCATCCTTCAAGACAGCTTCTCCAAGAATTTCCAAGCACAAATTAAAGCTGATCTTCTCTCTCAAAGTTTACTTTATTATAGCCACTTTCTCAAGTTCACAAAAATCTTTGCTCAAGGCCTGGTTCAAAGTCCCAGAAACCAGGAAACAGACAGGGAAAACTGCACCCAGCTGCCAAAAGATACTAAGGAGATACAAACTAAGTAATATGTTGGGTTTTTATTGAGCCAAGAAAACAAATAGACTAATTTTAAAAGATACAAGCTGTTCAGCTGTCAAAGTAATCCCATAAATTTAGTAGCACAGAGCCCTCTTGCAGACAACCAAGAGTGATAAGAGCAGTAAGACATGAGTGGATTGGCTTGATTGAAAAATATTTATTTGCCTTCTTCCCAGAAAGAAAATAAAGTGGGGTGGGGTGGAGGGGGTGTTACATGCTTCCAAGTTCACACAGCATTTGTTTCTATGCTTTGAAATAATAATGGATAGTTTGGGCCATATTTCTTTCCAATTTAAATCTATATATCACATAATACTTTGTAGAGTAATGGTCAATATGAAGAGAAACGGAAATTGTGCCATTAAAATTTATACAAACACACACACACGTCTCTGAACAAAACACCAGATTCTTTAACCTAGGATAGCAGGTTAATCACCAGCATTGTAAATCTTGTTGACCTGAAGGTCAACAGTTTGAGCCACTGATGGGGTGAGCTCCTGCCATCGGCCCTAGCTTCTGTTTTACCTAGCAGTTTGAAAACAAAGTAATGGGAGTAGATAAATAGGTACTGCTTTGGCAGCAGAGGCATAAGGCCTCCCTGAAAAAACATGCTGGCAAAAATTTGATCAGGAAGACATCCAAGGACAACAGCTTCCTTGGCGTGGAAATTAAAACAACAGCACCACCCTAAGGCATACTTGAGCACAGCCTCCAAATGCCGGAGATGGAAAAAAAGTGGGAAGCCTTGCCTCTTACTGCCTTTGTTGTTAATTGTGTAACGGCGCTGAATATTTGCCATGTATGGACCGGGTTGTGGCAGCTGGCTAGGAGTCAGCTGCATTAACTCACATTAAATCACTACTGGCCAAAAGGTAATGAGTTCAAAGCCAGCTTGGGTTGGGGTAAGCTCCCGCCCATTTGTCTAATTTGCTGTCAACCTTTGCGGCCCGAAAGACAGTTGCATTTGTCAAGTAGGAAATGTAGGTACCGCTTTATGCGGGGAGGCTAATTTAACTAATTTACGACACCATAAAAATTTCCAGCAGCATGCAAAAGAATAAGGAGGTACTCCATAGGTGTCATAAGTGGACAATGAAGCAACAGCTCCCCCCGGTGGCTGGAATTCGAGCATACCCTCATGAAGCTGGAATATTAAATAGCCTCTGTGTGTCTGTCTATATATGTTGTGTGTCTATGGCATTGAATGTTTGCCATGTATATGTACATTGTAATCCGCCCTGAGTTCCCTGCAGGGTGAGAAGGGTGGAATATAAATGCTGTAAATAAATAAATAAATATGTTTCTGTGATGTGCTCTGAGTCCCCCCCCCCCCCCCGGGAGATAGTGCGGAATATAAATAAAGTATATCATATTATTCACAGCAACTCCTTTTAAAATGTGTATAGATTTTCAACTTCTAATGTAATTTTTTCCATTTGTTTTCTTTTATAGCAACCATCCTAAGAAGTATTACTGTGAGGGTTAACATTACTCTTTCAGGACAGAAAGAACGGAATGGTGTTGGATGAGGTTACAGCTATAGTAACTGATCTCCATTATCATTTCAAAGCTTAGAGACACATGCTGTTATCAAAGGAAGGGGAGGGTGATGCAATTTTCAAGTAAGGATTTGGACTCATGAGTATAATGTTGGCACAGTGCCTGAACAGATTTGCAGTACTAATTTATGTACTCAGTTACACCATAGCATGGCTGAAGTCACAATAAGACACTACATAAAAGCTAATAATACCTGATATGCATATATGCTCTGGTTGGCAGCAGAAATGAAGCCTGAGGTGCTGAAGAGAGGATACTTACGGCAGTTCTCCTCATCTGAGCCATCCTTGCAATCTGTGTCGCCATCACAGAACCAATGTTCAGCTATGCAGCTGCCATCGCTGCAGCGGAATTCTTTGTCTGAACATTTCCTCATATCTGCAAGACAGATCAAAAGACAGTTCAACTGAAATTACATCCTCTGAGCAGCTGGTGCACTCCATATAGCTTCCTGGGAACCAGATTCCACTCATATAACCTTTTAAAGGGTGTCTAAAAACCAGAGCTTGGGAAAGTTTCTTTTTTGGACTAGAACACTCAACATCCAGCATAGCACCTAGCTCCCAAATCAATCTATTACATGCACAGATATTTACATGCATGTCCATGTTTCTAATATTATGCACTGTAATTTTATTTTTGAAGGACTTTTCAGGACTTCTAAACAGATGAAAAAGCACAGGTACACTGACGTATTGATCAGATACACTGATCTAATACTATGAATTGGGATAATGTAATAGTAATAATAATAATAATGAGCTCCAGTAGCACAATGGGCTAAACCCTTGTGCTGGCAGGACTGCTCACCAAAAGGTCAGCAGTTCAAATCTGGGGAGCAGAGTGAGCTCCCGTCTGTCAGCTCCAGCTTCTCATGCGGGCACATGAGAGAAGCCTCCCATCTCTGGGCGTCCCATGGGCAATGTCCTTGCAGACGGCCAATTTTCTCACACCAGAAGTGACTTGTAGTTTCTCAAGTCACTCCTGACATGAAAAAAATTTACAATATTGTTTTCTGTCTGATTATATTTGTGTGTGTGTGCCTAAAAAGGAGATGGTGAATTTCAGTGATTACAACTCCCATGAGTTGTAGCATTGAGCCAAGGCAATTAAGTTACAGTTTCTCAAATAGATCCTGCCATAATAATAATAATAATAATAATAATAATAATAATAATAATAATAATAATTTGGCTTGAAAGAGAAACTATGTAAACATAGCCCTCCAGATGTAGCCTCCAACATAAATAAGTAAATAAGTAGAGAAAAAAAGAAAAGAAAATCAAGTTGCTTAATAGAGAAGGCTAATCACAGTCCAAATACTAACCACATTGTTCATCACTGTTGTCCCCGCAATCATTGTCCCCATCACAGTGCCATAGGCTGCGTATACAGTATCCATTTTGACATGAAAATTCATCCTCCTCACACTCTCGTGGCGCTGATGAGACACAAAGCACAAGGAGAACATGAGTCAAAAACAGCGCATAGTACCTGAGTGCCATATAACATATTAAGAACCTGAGAAAATGAGTACCATCTACCAAACAGCAAGCTTTGCAATTGATGTGATTGTGAGGATCAGAAATCAGATTCCTGGTCAATGGTGCTATTATCTGTAGACTGTGCACTTTGTTTAGTGCCACTTATGATTTATTTCTTATGCCTTTTAGCATTTCAAAAACAAGGAGGAAATTCCTCCCTAAGGAAAATAAATCTTAAAGTTTAAATTTCCTTATGGTAAGATGTGTAATTCACAGTTTCATGTTTTCAGAGGTACAGTGCCACAATTTTAAACAAAATTTTTACACTAGAGAGTTTTAACTAAACTAAACCTGCTAATGTATGACAAGAATTAAAACTAAAATGAACAGAATCCTCCAATATAAGAAGAAGTTCAAGTTTTGGACCTTAACTCAGGATCAGGAGAGCAATGAGACACAGTTACGTATCCTAGAAAGACTGCAACTGAGGGCTGATGCTACTCAGCTGCACAGATCCACCCAGCTGGCATAGAGGAGGGCCAACAGGTGAGAACACTTGTGCTACAGGGCATAAAGAGTGACAGTTTGGATTTGGGCTTTGCTGGGAGCAACTGTTAGAACCTATTACAGCTTGGAGCTTTGCCTGGTGATCTTGTGTGTATCTTCATGTTTTGGACCTTGGCTTTGGAACTCTGGATTACACATAATCTTGGAAGATTTAGTGAGGACCTTTCGAATGAACTATGGACTACAACTTCTGAAATATTCCTGCATAGTTTGCTGTTTAAATCTGCATTGGCTTGGATCCCGGACTGGCTGACGACAAAGAGTAGTGAGTGGCTGTTTATACTGAGAGACGCTGTGCAGGACTACAACAGTATCCCTTATCCAAGGTCGTAGGACCAGAATTGCCCTGCATTTTGGATTTTAGCAAGCCTGTATTTGCATATAATGAGCCTGCATGTGTGCCAGCCTGCATAAGTTCTATTTCATTGCCCTTTGTGGGCTTATTTGCATCTCTTTCCAGTCTCACGTCTCTCTTTGGCTTTGCATTTTGTTAGTTTGCTACTCACGTTGTGTATGAAATGCAAAGCTGGAACGAAAATGAAGATCGATGACATGGGTTTATGCTTTGTGGCTTACAAGGAAACATCAGTACCCTCAAGCAGACTCAGAAGTGAATAGCCACATGAATAGTTTTATAATATGATCCCAAGTTGGTGGACTGTTCAGTATGTGACTGAAGCCATTCCTCATAGGCTTAAGCCTCTGAATCATCTGTCAGAAATATTAAATATTAACTAGGTATTTTTAATTACAAAAATGTGAGTCAAGCACTGAAAGGGTTAAAAGGATGCAATGACAGCAAAAGCTGCACTTCTATATAAGCAGGTGTGCCTGTAGCTTAGTTGGCCTCTGTGTTAGTTTGCCTCAGCAGGAGAAAGGTCTGTGAGAAGGCCTCGCAGTGTGAGGTAGGCTTTAGTCTGTGAAAGGAGGCCTCACAGTGTAAGGTAGGCCTTAGTCTGTGAGAGAAGTCTCTGTGTGAGGAAAGCCTTGGTATGAGAAGGCCTCGTGTGTGAAGCTCCAGTGTGAAGGTTGAACTTTGTGTCATGGAAACACTGTTCTTGTAAATAGTGCAACCATATTATTTTGCTATAAAGAAAAGCCTTCTATGGAAGAGATATCATTGGTCTGTGTGTTTTTGTTCTTTTTATCACTTTGGGCTACTGTGGGTGGGTCATGATGGTGCTAATAAGTTACTCTGCTGTACATTTATGAGGAGGGTCTTTCGTTAATAAGCCCCCTTGCCCAACACCATCTACCTAGGTACAGCCCATTATGGTAGCTCAGATAAAAATTATAAAGGTGTCAATCACTGTGCCCAGACTACTCTCGTCTGGGAATGTTATCATTGGCAAAACAACTAGAAAGTAGTTACTCTCAGGCACTACGACCAAGTCAGATATCTACTCAAACCATTAGTCATACATACACTCCCAAGGAGAGTCAATACGGTGGCGACAAAACCAGCCGCATTTGATTTGTTCTAATAAAGCGATGCTGCATAAATGGCTTGTCTTTGACTTACGGCAGTCCTGTTCATCAGAATCATCCTCACAGTCATTGTCCCCATCGCAGACCCATGAACGTCGGATACATTTGCCGTTGTCACAGTGAAAATCCAAGGGGGAGCAAGTTGGCAGCACTGGAATGCAAGAAGAAGAACATTAAGTTAGTAGGAACAACGAGAATTTTTAATATCTTTATTTTTACAACTCTCATACAAATGGAAAAAAGAAGAAAAAATGTTTTAGCAATGTAGTAGCAATAACAACTGCAACATTTCTAGGTTGGTAGTGTTGCTATATCTAGGAAAATCCTACAATTCTTCCCAAGCTCTGTTTCTACCACCAAGAAAACACAATGCTGCAATATTCTCTGAATTATGCTAAAAAAACACTAATTTCCTCTCCTTGCTAATATATCACAAAACGGAATCATAGAGTTGGAAGAGACCTCATGGGCCATCCAGACCAACCCCCTGCCAATAAGCAGGAAAATTGCATTCAAAGCACCCCTGACAGATGGCCATCCAGCCTCTGTTTAAAAGCCTCCAAAGAAGGAGCCTCCACCACATTCCGGGGCAGAGAGTTCCACTGCTGAACAGCTCTCACAGTTAAGAAGCTCTTTCTAATGTTCAAGTGGAATCTCCTTTCCTGTAGTTTGAAGCCATTGTTCTGTGTCCTAGTCTCCAAGGCAGCAGAAAACAAGCTTGCTCCCTCCTCCCTATGACATCAAGCAAATATTGGTGGAGAGGTAATTGAAAGTAATGCTAATGCAGCATGGAAGTAAGCAAGTATTGAAAAATACATTTTGACGTTTTATATGGAAAGAAGCAGTGCCTTACAAAAGAGTACTCATTTTAAGCTGTAGTGAACTTAAGGGCACACAACCCTGTAATTTAGAGTCCCGGGTCTCTCTGATCAACATTTCTCACTTTCTTTCCTATCTACACACACAGGGAGGCAATTATATGCATCAAGAGGCAGCCTTCCTGTTACTTCACTAATTGTAGGTCCTGAAAAGTCTGCTTATGGTATAGTGACTTCAGTCACTTGGATCCCAGTGCAAGTCTGTATTTCCAGTTCCTTTAGTACTGAAACATGTTTTCCACTGCCAGGATTTTTAAAACATTTCAACAAAAGACACAAGGTAGGTAATTCAGTCTTTCCACAGATGCCCACAAGCAAACCTGCTACAGAATAGTGTAAAATTAGATTGATTTCACTGTGTCTGGGAATGGCCTGTGTTCCAAGGCAGGAAATGGGAAAGCGTCATCATACCTCTCAGTCCTGAGGATCCAAAACCAGATTATGACTTCAAAAGCAGAAAACAAAAACCATTGCAGTGTGGGAGTAACCATTTCACTTTTCCCATGAGTAAGGCACATATTCCTCAATGATATCCCAAATTTGTTCCTGTTCTTATGGTTTTGCTACATAAACAATGCCAGCCCCTCCCCAGCTGAAAAGAGTAGAGAAAATGATGGAGAAGAATCATTCTCTTGAAATATGGAAGTAAGGAACAACAAAAACATACTATCGAGGCCACATCCAGTACTCCCAAACCTCATGACATTTTTGCAAAAAAGGCTCCAAGAAAAATTTATTCTTCAGCTCTTCAAATGTTCATCCAATCCTAATAAGGCTTGCTTATTTTCTTCACATGCCCAAAGCAGGTAGCATCCACCTAAAAAGCAGTCACTTTTTCCAGCTTTCTCCAAATCAAACAGCTAGTCCAATACAAGGAGAAGTCTCACGCAAATCATTACACAGTCACCATCCTCTAAACCAGTGTTTTTCAAACTCCTCCTCCTCCAGGTATTCAGGTCCCAGAAATCCCAGCCAGCTTATGATTTCGCAATGCATCGCAGCTGCGTTCATGCCCTTTGCATTTAGACAGCGTATTACAGCACAAACTTCACACTTGGAGGAAAACGGATTGAGGATGGTCATCTCTAACCTTCACCACAATGCCAGTCAATGAGCTACTGACGACTGGCACTGCTCACTCGCTTCCGCTGGCTTCCTGCTACACGGAAGTGATGCCAACTTTCCCCATGAAAATTAGCCATGAGAGCTAGGTGCCTTGTAACCTTATTTTCCAGATAACCTTTGTATAAAGGCACTGGCGGCCATGTTCTCCCCTCTACCCCATCCTCCCAGCGGCATCCTTCCTTATTTAATCAAATAAACAAAGGTAATCAAGACAGTCACAACTTTGCAGACAATAGAACAGTCTATGTTGGTCTGAAGAAAAACATCTATAAGTTATTTAGCTCCCAGAAGAAATTCAGATATTTGGCCACCTGTTGCAAGAAAAATCTATATGCGGAATATAAAGACAATCCAGATTTCTCAAGAATGACAGATTAGAAAGAAGTCATTCTCTGATCTGGGAGACTGGAAAGCAAAAGCTTTTATGAGCTTTCTTTTGTTGTTTGAATTCAGGAGTACTGCCTTTGGACCACAGCCGAGGAGAGCAGGGACATCAAAGGAACTGAAGGATATGTCTTTTTAAAAACAGTTTTTGTGTCTCCATAACAGCAATAATACAAAAAAGTAATGTGGAAACACTACTTCAGGTTGCTGAAAGCAGAAACATCACCCCATTTTTTTAATTCTTTGAGTTAAATGAAATCATGCAAATGGATCCTGTGCAAGAAACTGGCAACAAGAAAACATTTAATGCACTGTAAATTGTTTGTCTCAAAAGACCTGTGGTATGCTATATAAAACAGAAGTAGTGAAAATGTTCATAGAGGTTTCAAAGAACAGTAGACCAGCATTATATATCTCATGAGGAAAGAAAAAGAGAACTCTTCAGAAAAACTGAAACTCCCATCCCTGTAAAAGGCTGATATTCAAATGGACAGCATAAATCAATCACAACCCACCCTTCTTTTCAGGGATGAAAGAAACTCTCAGCCTTGTGTGAGGCTATGCTTTCAAGGGCTGCCAACTATGACTAGAAGGGAGTAACTGGTTTTTTCTCCTGACAGGTGTGTTCTCCAAAGGAACGACATTCATTCAACTATTTATAAAAAGAAAGAGAGAAAAGAAAGAAAGGAGAGACCAAGAAGATGATGGTGACTGCAGAACTCTTTCCTTCTCAGCCTGGTCTATTGATGCTATCTTCCAACTGTCATCAGCTGGGCTTTTTCCTTGCCACCAAACACAGGGAATGAAGGAGGAAAAGAATGCAGCAGTAACAAGAGAGACAGGAAGAAAGGTATTTCCCTTGCAAGCTAGGAATGTCACTCAGGATAGTCAAGCTTTCTGGTATGTTGAACATCCAACTACCTGGAATCAACACTAAAGCTTTCTCTGATTTGATACCATTTCAGCTGTGTTAGGACTATGACTCACAACATCCCCAGCTACTCAAAGAATATCCAATGCAGAGGGAAATGGGATTGTGATAGGAACAGGAAGCAATGTGGCGCCACTTGCATCTTGCCAAAATGCTAGCATGGACCATTACTGGGCAATAATTGGAACCCATCCCAAAGTTGTGGTTGGAAACTAACTGCTGCAAACCTGCTCCCCTTCTATATGCTTCCACTGAATGAGGCTTGTATATATGAGATTAGGTTTAGCTCCTTCTCTAAGAGATCTTTCTATTTGCACAGGTCTTTGTTAACCTTGCAGAAGACCTTTCAAATGGAGTGTGCTATATTGCTTGGGAAAAAAAAACTTTGCTTGATTTAGTGTGCTTTATTTTTATTATCGTTATTATGCTTTATTTGCCTTTTAATTTTTAATTAATATGTTTGATATTATTCTTTACTTAAGTTGTTTATTTTCTATACTATCCATTGCCTTAACTTTATTATATTTTAACATAATGCAAATGCATGTATTGGAGAAAAGTGGGATATTAAATACATAGGTAAAGGTAAAAGTTTCTCCCTGACTTTAAGTCTAGTTGTGTCTGACTCTGGTGCTCATCTCCCCATTTCTAAGCCAAATTGCTGGCATTGTTCATAGACGTCTCCAAGGTTGTATGGCCCGCATGACTGCATGGAGTGCCATTACCTTCCTGTCAGAGCTGTATCCATTGATCTACTCACATTTGCATGTTTTTGAACTGCTAGGTTGGCAGAAGCTGGGGCTAACAGTGGGAGCTCACCCTGATCCATGGATTTGAACTGCCAACCTTTCAGTCAACAAACTCAACTGCTCAGCAGTTTAACCCGCTGCCCACTGGGGACCAGACATATATACATATATGAATACAAAGAGAAATGACTAAACATGTATATTTATGAATGGCTTGGGGAAAAAATGAAATTTTGCTCTTTCATAAAACTAGAACTGGAAATCTCTTAATGAAGTAGCTTGGCAGGACAGTCAATAAAAAAGTGAATACTTTTATTGCAGATAACATCAAATTAAGCTTTTTTTATTGTGTCAAAAGCAACTTGAGAAACTGCAAGTCGCTTCCGGTGTGAGAGAATTGGCCGTCTGTAGAGACATTGCTCATGGGACGCCTGTGGGAGGCTTCTCTCATGCCCCCGCATGGGAAGCTGGAGCTGACAGACCTCATCTCGTGGATTTGAACTGCCAACCTTCAGGTCAGCAGTTCAACTGGTACAAGTGTTTAACCCAGTGTACCACCGCGGCTCCATCAGATTATTAAAATAAGCTTGTTATTCATTTATTCCGTCATTTTTGACTCTTCGTGATCTCACAAGAGCTGCCAAATTAAGCTGGGAACTTTTATTGTTGCAAGATGTGATAAGATCATTCATGGTTTGAAATGGCTTTTTAAAAATAGTTCCGCAAATTAATTACAAACCCCTGTGCCAGAAGGACTGAAGACTGACAAGTCGGAGATTCAAATCCGGGGAAAGCGTGGATGAGCTCCCTCTGCCAGCTCCAGCTCCCCATACAGGGACATGGGAGAAGCCTCCCACAAGGATGGTAAAACATCAAAACACCTGAGTATCCCCTGGGCAACATCCTTTCAGATGGCCAATTCTCTCACACCAGAAGCAACTTGCAGTTTCTCAAGTCGCTGACACTAAAAAAAGCAAATTAATAGAAAATTGGGTTATTAAGTTGTATCATCCTATGACAGTTAAATGGACTCTCCATGTTAAGAAGCAAAATACCTAAGGATTGGGAATAAAGATGTAGAGCT